GTCTAAGTCTTTAATCCACTGTGAATTGATTTTTGTGTATGGTATGAGATAAAGGTCTAATTTCATTCTTTTGCATGTAGACAGACGATTTTCCCAACACTATTTATTGAAGAGACTGTCCTTTCCTCATGTGTGTTCTTGATATCATTGTCAAAAATCAATTTTCTGTAAATACACAGACTGACTTCTGGGTGTTTTATTCTGTTCCATTGGTCTATGTGTCTTCTTTGTTGTCAGTGCTGTACTGTTTTGATTACTGTAACTTCTTAGTATATTTTGAAGTCAGGTAGTGTGATGCCTCCAGTTTTGTTCTTTTTGCTCAAGGTTGCTTTGGCTATTTGGGGTCTTTTGTGGTTCTATTCAAATTTCAGGCTTTTTCTATTTCTGTGAAAAAAAGTCATTGAAATTTTGATACGGGTTGCATTAAGTTTGTAGATCACTTTGGGTAGTATGGACATTTAACAACATTAACTCTCCCAATTCATGAACGTGGTGTATCTTTCCATTTATTGGCATCTTTTTCAATTTATGTTTTATAGTTTTTAGTGTATCAGTTTTTCACCTCTTTGGTTTAATTTATTCCTAAGTATTTAATTTTTTTTAGCTTTTCTGAATGGGATTGTTTTCTTGATTTTTTTTTCAGGTAGTTCACTGTTAGTGTATAGAAATGCTACTAATTTTTGATGTTGATTTTTGTATTCTGCAACTTTACTGAATTCATTTGTTAGTTCTAAGTTCTTTGGTAGAATCATTAAGGTTTTCTGTATTACAAGATTATGTTGTCTGCAAATAGGGACAGTTAACTTCTTCCAGTTTGGCTGTCTTTTCTTTCTTTTGCATAATTGCTCCAGCTAGGATTACTATGTTGAATAGAAGTGGCTAGAGTGGGCATCCTTGTCTTGTTCCTGTTCTTAGAGGAAAAGCTTCTAACTTTTCACCAGTGAGTTAGGATGTTAGCTATGGGTTTATCATAGATGCTTCTTTATTGTGTTAAGGTACATTCCTTCTATACCAAATTTAGTAAGATCAAATACATTAAAATGAGCTCAAGTTCCACATTAAATAGCAATTTAGTTTTGCTATAACAGTTTTGTATGACTTTTGTAATTGTTTTTGAAATTAATTTCATTTTGCATTTTTTTTTCTTTTGGCACCGTAATATTTTTTCAGATTTCAAACATTTTCACAAGCTTTGAAAGACTTGGAAATCTTGCACATGGTGCTCACCAAGCCCAAAGACAAAATGGCTCAGAGACCCTGGGGACCCAGCGTAGTGGAACACTGACCCTCAAGAGTGAGAAAGCAGACCCTGGCAGAAGGCAGCAGTGGCACCACATGACAGTTTGGGGAAGGGATTGAAGGTCTATGTCGAAGAGGACAGAAAGCCCCTCCAGGCTGTCTTCTGGCAATAACTAAAGAAAGATAACAAACATAGGAAAGCTATTTCTACTCCCATATACATGCTCCAGCACAGGCATACGTAAGAAAGCCTAGGGCTGAGGGCACTCACAGGGAAACACCTCCAAATGATGAGGACATTGTGAGCTTCCTAAGCCAGGTGGCCACAAAGACGCGTGGACAATCCACTGATCCAGCAAGCAGGGACTGTCACTTGTTCTGTGAAGAACACCAGAATACAGCTGGCCTTTCTTATCTGCATGCAGGTCCTATATCCAGATTCAAGAAACCATAGATCAAAAATATTGGGGGGGAAAAAACTAATTATAAATTAACAAGGGGCCACACGCAGTCATCTATAATCCCAGCACTTTAGGAGGCCAAGGCGGGAGGATAGGTTGAGTCCATAATTTTAAGCTCAGCCTGGTCAACATGGGGAGATTCCATCTCTACAAAAAATAAAAAAATTATCTAGGCACGGGGGTGCACTCTTACAGTCCCAGCTACTCTAGAGGCTGAGGCAGGAGGATTGTTTGAGCCAAGGAGGTTGAGCCATGTATGTGCCACTGTACTCCAGCTTTGGCAATAATGTACGACCCTGTCTCAAACACCACCACCACCACCACCACCATTACAGGCTGGGCATGGTGGCTCACGCCTGTAATCCCAGAACTCTGGGAGGCCAAGGCAGGAGGATCACTTGAGCCCAGGAGTTTGAGGTTACATTGAGCTAGGATCATACCACTGCACTTCAGCCTGGATGACAGAGCAAGACCCTGTTTTCAGAACAAAATAATGCAATACTGAAAATAATGCAGACGAAAAACCCATACAGCATAATGATTTACATAGGATTTACATTGCATGAGGTACTATGAGTAATCCAGAGATGATTTAAAGTATGTGGGGGGATGTGTGTAGATTATATGCAAATATCGTGCCCTTTCATATAAAGGCCATGAGCATCCAGAGATTTTGTTATCCTTAGGCGATTGTGAAACCAGCCCCCAACAGACATGGAGAAATGAAGTTGCTAAACACAGCAACTTTAGGGGCTAGTATCCAGATTACACACCAGAGCCAAAGAAGATGGAGGAGGAATGGGATTCATTCTTCTAGATAATACGTCTAGGTTTACTTGACTATGAAATGCCAAAGGAGAAGGAACTGCAATTTTTAGAAGACTCATTGGCCCAATGAGATCAGTTATTGTCTCAGTGACTTCAGAAGACCCTTTGGTTTTATTTTGCTCTTTTGTAGGAAGATGATGAGGTGCTGTGGAAGCCATGAGGTGCACCTGAGGTCTCCTTTCAAAGATAACCTGTCCGGAAAGAGTGGTTAGCTGTCAGCTTCTGGCTGCAGCAATTTTGCTGCAGTGTTCAAACTGAGGCCTCAGTCTCCTCAGGTAAATCCCAGTCAATGACCAACCAAAACAGGGACACTGATACTACTTTGCCATTTCTGCCCAACACAAGCCTCCTTCGTCGGCAATCTTTGTGCCAGAACACCCCCACTGGGCTGCTCAGGCCTTCTTCAGAACTGCAGGCAGCCTGAGGCTCTCCCTGCCTAATCCTCCTTCCTTACACGCCCTTCTTTTAATGTCAAACCTGTAGCATGGTCTGAAGGCCATCCCTGTCTACTTTTGATTCCTCACCCCTTTGTTTTTCACAGGTACATCTCCTAATAAATCCTTTGCCCTTCTAACTTCCTCTTGGCATCTGCTTCTTAAGAATCCAAACTGATACAGCTGTCCACCCACACAGTGTGACTGGGTAAAGCCTACTGGCTTACTCTTTTTTTTTCTGAGACAGAGTTTTGCTCTTGTTCTCCTGGCTGTAGTGCAATGGCGTGACCTCAGCTCACTGAAACCTCCACCTCCTGGGTTCAAGTGATTCTCCTGCCTCAGCCTCCCGAGAAGCTTGGATTACAGGCACCTGCCACCACGGCTGGCTAAGTTTTGTTCTTTTAGTAGAGACGGGGTTTTACCATGTTCGCCAGGCTAGTCATGAACTCCTGACCTCAAGTGACTGGCCTGCCTTGGCCTCCCAAATTGTTGGGATTACAGGCGTGAGCCACCATGCCCGCCAGACTCACTCTTGAAATGTGAAGGTCTAAAAAAAAAAACCTCTTAAAATGTAGCCATGGGAGGGCACTGAAAAGAAATGCAATTATTTCATTGGATGGCTGCAAAAGAATGTAGACTCCTACAAAGATGGGTTGACATCTTCTGGGGGTTTATTTTACCATTTACCTCTGACAGGATGGCTGAAGAGGAATCATCCTGGGAGTTGGTTATAATATTATTTATTTAAAAATATTTATCATTTATTAAGTACTTATTATGTGACAAGAACCATAAGAGCTTTCCATACATTGTTTCATTCAATCCTTACACAATTCTAATGTTATCTCCATTTTTCAGATAAGAAAATGAAGTTAATCAGATGTTGAGCTTAGATCTGAATCGAGGACTATTTAATGCCAAATTCTTTAAAGTCTCACACACACACACACACACACACACACACACACACGTTTAAATTTTGAGTTTCCAAGGAGAAAGAAAACATGAACTGTAGGAGAGAAACATGAAATAAAACAAATATGGAAGAAAATGAAGACACTGAGTAAAATTGGCCTAGAAATCTAGAAAGAGAAAGTAAAGGCAGGGAGGTTTTGTAGGGAAAGTTGTAAGTGTCTTGATCTGTTACTAATTATGTGTTCTTAGAGACATACAAGCTGAGTCTCAGTTTTCACAGATCTATTAATGAGGTCGTTTACTAGATGGTCTCTATATTTCATTTCAGCTCTTAAGATTATACATTTTCTTCTTAGAGATTTTTATCATTTTGTATAAAATCAACTTAACAACTTTAATAGTTTTCACTAAATCCCACAAGAAACAAAATGTTCTGTTAGGCACCCAATGTGAACAGTGGATTTCATAATTCACCAAGAGAAGCAATCTGCCAGCATACCAAGAGGATGTGACAATCACCATGGGTTTTGCATGCACAGGTCCTACAAAAAGTCATTCACTGTCAAAAAAAGTTTGTCCAGTTTGTTTGAGGTTCTTGCTTGGCATGAAGTCCTCATGGATAATCACTATGCTTTTTTTGTGGTTAAAAACTGGGATAAAAGCAAACTTTTATCTTTTAACTTTTAAACAATAAACAATACCATTACCTAATTATGACACACTTTTTTTGTGAGAAAGGGTATGGGAAATGTGAAAAGTGCTTTGAAGAATAACTTAAAAAGCCTCATTTGAGTCTTTTTCCATCTTCTTCATCTTTCTCTAGATCTACAAATGAGCAGATTTTCTATAACTACTAATTGCTGTTTGGTCAATCTTGAGGAAAAGGGTAAAAGGCCACACTATCAGTAGTGAGGGCAAGAGGAGAAAAGCACAAGCTGGAGAACCTCTAGACCAGATTGCCAACTTAGCTCCACAACCCTGATTCTGTCCTGAAGGGTTTCCCAGATAATGCAGATAATGCAGTTAGGAAAAGCAGTGTGAGTGTTTCTGGGATGAATGAGATGGAGAAAAGAAAACAAAATACATTATTATTTGAGAAAGAGTAATGTAAAAAACTCACTAGTTTACTGTGTTAAAAAAAAGATGGCACATTTATTGCTACATAAATGTTATATACATATTGTGTTTTCTGTTACAGTGACAGAAAAAAATTTGAACTTCTTGCTGCTGGTTGAAAAGGTTTATCAATAATACCTTGAATTTGACACAGGATACAAATCTGCAATAAACCAACAATGGAAACTGGAGAACAAGATGAGAAGCAATTCATCTCCAACAATTAGCTCTTACAATACTCCATAGGTACTACACGGTATGCTAGAATCCTACTATGGTCTTAAAATGCTATTGTAAATTTCTGATATTAATGAACAGGTTATGGTAAATAACCCTACATTTTTACTACCTAATATAATAAAATAAAGTAAGAAACTTTTTACTGAAAACTTTTTGATTTCAAAAATCTAGAAAGAGTAATATTTAGAATTCAAGAAATTTTCTTACAAGATTATTGTATAAAAGACTAGCTACAGTGAAAAATAAGCCAAATGTTTTTTTCTTTCTATTTTATGAAGGAAAGCTTCTGGGCATACTGCAAAGTCTAATATAGCGAAAAAGACAACAAGCTCTGAAGAAAAAAAGGCCAGGCAGTGGCATATGTTCACTCACACATCATAAGCAACAACTTCTGTTTAGCTGATTAACACTGAAATGAAGAACAAGGCCACAGATAGAGTCTGATGTAACTGGAGAATATATGCAAATTAAAGTAACCAAAAAGTCCACTAAGTTCACAAATGACTGACTTGTTAGGAATCATCCTGATTAGAGTACCAGAAGTTCTGTCCTGTTTTTGTTCTTTCAAATTAACAGAAATCTTTAAGCTACATAGTGATTTGGGTCCTTTCCTCTGTGTGCTGATTGCCACTGTTGATGTTGGCTAGAAGGAATTATTAAGCCAAGATACCTCGTTTAGCATGTTTTTCTCTCCCAGGGTTGCTGCGGTGGAAGACAGGTTTCATGGAAGTTCAAAGTGATTATGTCTTTGAAAACAACTCCTAAGGATTAGAGACAGAGAGTGCCTTAATGAACAGTATTAAGATGGACTGACAAATACTGGTTTAATGCTAATCTGGCTCATCATTTTGGGACAGGGGCAGATGGTTTGCAGTTGATTAAATCACCCACTGAATTCTTCCCCACTGACCAGCCATCCAAATGACAGAGAAATAAAGGCTAGGATAAGGAAACACGGGTGACCATTGCTCTTGTATTCCATTAGGTAATTAGCCTCAGAGTGGTGTGTTCATTTATCACACTACCTGCCTTGGTGACTACTGGGTTTTGTTATGTTCACCATAATCACAGCCTGAAAAAATTGTCATTGTATTTTAAATGTATTTTGTGCTTACTTACAGCTAACACTTTACAAGTACTGTATGTAGTACTTACTGCTTGGAAAACAAAACAATTTCTAAAAAGTAGATTCTTCCCTTGTAATTTACAATTTTGCTGTTACAAGCTTTCCTATGAGATCTAGAAGCTTGAAAAGTCTTGGTTATTATTAGAAATAAAGCAATGTTTATTTGGGGGAAAACCTAGAGAACAAAATTTCCCCTTTTAAAATCCTAGCTAGGCTATGGTCACAGATGGTCTCTGCTTACCACTGTAAGGTAAATGTGCAAAGCACACAGGGCTGCATGGAGGAGGCTGGACTGTGACCATAAACTATTCAGATTTAGAAATCAAATATAACACCCACAAAGAGAAAATAAAAATAAATCAAAAATTGAGAGCAAGAGAAATGCTATTCCAAGTGATATTTTCCTATTTCATGGAAAACACTATTCATATGGCAAAAGGATAGGAGAGGGCAACAAAAGACTTTTCCCTTCCTTTTTAAGACACTAATAGGTATGCCGGGAATGCTAAGGGCCAATGGTTGTCACTGCTTTGTTCTCTGCACGTGAACCGCTTTAATGTATGCTGGCATCAGCTGAGTGTAGATCAGCTTTCCACATTAACTTTTTCCCTTTATATGTAGACCTTACAGTTTCATAACAATAAATAAAATTTGTAGTTACAATGCATTTGTCAATTCAGTTTAGGCACAAGGCAACTTCCACGGTGAGTGGAGAGATCGAGACAGTCTCTGATTGTGCAGAAGCGACACACTGCTTGCAACAAAATGATTTGTTGCAAACATCTCATGGGCTGATGTTCTATCTGATGAGCTTCCTATCTTCACTTCTGATGGAAGTGTTGACCAGTTGCTTTGATCGTAGGATTACATTTGAGTTTCTTGCTTCAAGTGTTTTGTTTTTTCTTCTCCCTCCTGTCAGGTCTGTGTCTTCAGATAATCTGAGTTGTCCAAGTCCTTATGAGGAGAGGTCACCTTCTATCTAGCCTACTGATAACTCTGGAACTGTGGCAGGGACAGCCAAGGGAGAGGACAATACCAGTTAGTACATAATTATTAAAAATAAAACACCTTCCCCCTCCCACCAACAAAACAAGCTGGTATTCCTCATCTATATCCATGTCTGCACTAAATTTGTAGTCTGCTAAGTGACTTAATGAACTTCTTCCTTTTAAGGTATAATGAAATGGTTTTACTTGATGTGTATGGTAAGGTTTTTTGTTTGTTTGTTTTCAGACAGTGTCTTGCTCTATCACCCAGGCTGGAGTACAGTGCCATGACCATGGTTCAATACAGCCTTAAACTCCTGGGCTCAAGTGCTCCTCCCACCTCAGTCTCTGAGTAGCTGGGACTACAGGTGTGCACCATCACATCCAGCTATATGGTAAGATTTTAAAGGAGATCATGTGATTACAGAATCACAAACTATAGGAGTATAAAACAGCTGCAGCAATGATGCAAACTTTCATTTTAACAACACTCAAGTTGGCAATAACTGAGCTCTGAGGTGCTACTCATTCATTCCTCAGTAGTGAGACAACAGTAAAGCCCTCAATTTGCTGCTGCCTCCACTCAACCACATTGTGTTAACAGTTTACATTTATTTCATCTGAACTGAGAGCACTTGAGGTCAGAGGCCATTTTGCATTCATTTTCGTATTGGTCCCAGTTCCTGGCACACAGTAGGTCCTCAACAAATGTTTACTCAATATTTATTAACAACATTTTACTCTATTAGTACAAATTCTATACATACTTATGTTCCCAATATAATATATATATAGTGGTAACTCTGTAAATATATTATATATATAAAAAATATATATATATATATAATTATACAGATGTATATAATATACATCTGCCCTGTCTCTTGTTGCTTTTAATCTGCTATCCAATTCATGAAACCAGGTAACTATCTTTATGAAATTAGCAACCTTAACTCTTCCTTTCTTTTACCCTAAATGAAATCTTCTGTGTGGTCTGGTTTGACCCTATATATGTAGTGGTGGTAGGAACTAAATCCCTCAGGAAAAGGTGAGTTAGTAATCTTTGTAGTTTATCTATCAAATATTCTATCAAATTCCAGACTTTCAGTTCAAAATGAGATAGCCACAAAACTGACCAAATGAAACTGCACTCGGTATTTTTTTTGTTCCACACCCCACACTCATCTGCCTTTACTTACTACTATTAATCTGTTGATAAAATTGGGAAAAAAACTACATACTGCTGAATGCAGGTTATAAAAGTGAAGTTACCAGCCGGGTGAGGTGGCTCACGCCTGTAATCCTAGCTCTTTGGGAGGCTGAGGTGGGTGGATCACCTGAGGTCAGGAGTTCGAGACCAGCCTGGCCAACATGGTGAAACTTCAACTCTACTAAAAATACAAAAATTAGCCAGGCATGGTGGTGCGCACCTGTAATCCCAGCTAGTCTACTCGGGACGCTGAGGCAGGAGAATCGCTGGAATCTGGGAGGCAGAGGCTGCAGTGAGCCGAGATTGTGCCACTGCACTCCAGCCTGGGTGACTCCGTCTTGAGGAAAAAAAAGCGAGACTCCGTCTTGAGGGAAAAAAAAAAAAATCACAAGGAAATGAATTGTGTTTAGTCCATGAAGAGAAAGATATAAAGAATAGTCCTTGAACAAGTAAAATTCCACCAGAGAGAAGGGCATTCTGGCTCTACCATATATAATAACTTCACATATATTAATAGATTCTAGAAGGTGTTAACTGATGTGCTTACAAGTGGGGAGGAAGCATATCATAAACTTGCATTATTGATCCAAATAGAAGTAATAACTTTTTCATATATAAAGGCTTCATGACAAAGAGCTAGATAATTAGCAGAAAACTGGCTGATGATATAGTCAAGCATTTCTGAATAAAGAAATGAAGAACATGAGTGGTAGCAAGAGCGTTTTCTGATGGTTGAGTCACTTTATTATTTCTTCTTGGATCAGGAAGACACTTATGTAAGAGAGTAAACATGACGATTCAGAACAGAAGAACTAAAGTCACAAGGTACTGTCACACTTTGAAGAAAATGGTAATTTTGTATAAAATGACACTGGCTCTCTAAGTCTGATAATGTAACAGAAAGACAAACTGTTGTATTTCAAATTACCTGTGACCTTCACAATGGCCACTGCTCACTAGAGAATTCTGTTCAAAGATTCTAACCCAGTTTAAGATGAGTCTTAAGGTTATTTCCTTGTGTCTTTTCAAACCCGTACTTACCTGGCTGATGTTTACATATGACCCATAGGGTTGGTAGTTTCACTAAGCCCAGGATGGGTTCCTGGCAGTGTGGTTGGCGGCTCTGCCGATACGGCAGAAACTTTTTCTTCTTCCCTTCTCTTAAGGCAGGCTGCTTTGGGGTTAAGGTTCCTCTCTAAAACAGGAGGAAAGAATTTTTATCACTATGGTTTTAAGTTATAAATTAGGTCTCAAGCTGAACAAATTGCATTATTTTCTTTCTGTGGGGATTAGCAATCTCTGTGTAACTTCGTTCCCATACTAAGTACCATCACATAGAAGAAACAACGTGCTCACACAAAACCTCAGCATTGAACTGAGCCTCTAGATTTATACTTCTAAGTGACCATTTTGTGTTTTCTTCATTTTTTTTGCTCATGATTTAGCCTTCTAGGGTTTGATTTGATTTAAATCAAAATGCTACTCTTCACTCAAACATTTTGGCAAATGCTCTTGTTATTAGGCTACCAAGTCTCTTCAATGTCCTGCTAAGACACGGTACACAGAATTGACATGAATGCTGACATCTTGTACTTAGAGAGAGACATCTGTGCTTTACCTAAAAGTTACCAGTTCAGAAAAGGATAAAGTAAGAGATATCCTCAGCTATTTCTCTAAAGCAGTGATCCCCAACCTTTCTGGCACCAGGAACTGGTTTCGTGAATGACAATTTTTCCATGAACTGGGTACGGGGGGAAGGGAGCAGGATGGTTTCACGATGACTTAAGCACATTACATTTATTGTGCAATGTATTTCTATTATGATTACATTGTAATATAAAATGAAATAATTATACAAGTCACCATAATATAGAGTCAGTGGCAGCCCTGAGACTGTTTTCCTGAAACGAGATGGCCCCACCTGGGGGTAATGGGACAGAAGGACAGGTCATCAGGCATTAGACTCTCATAAGGAGCAGGCAACCTAGATCCCAGATACCTTGCATATGCAGTTCACAATAGGGTTCACGCTATGAGACTCTAATGCTGCTGCTGATCTGACAGGAGGTGGAGATGCAAATGATGGGGAGTGTCTGTAAATACAGATGAAGCTTCCCTGGATTGCTCTCTGCTCACCTCCTGCTGTGCAGCCAGTCCGGTTCCTAACAGGCCACTGGTACTGGTCCAGGGCCCAGGGGTTGGGGACCTTTCTTCTACAGGAAATGTGCCAGTTCAAGGGAGAGGGATAGATAGCTGGTGCACATGTTACTTTTCTACTTTGATATATATGTGAAACGAGATGACTGAGTTGGTCTTTCTATTGCTGGAGGTGTTATTAAAAGGGTGGTAAAAACCTCTGCTGCTTCTTATTTTTATGATAACAAAGAAGACCGCATGGGATCTGTGACATGGGCATTTTCAAAAGAGGTTAAAGAATAAGCTGAGAGGTACAAGGATCACTTGAGCCCAACAGTTGTCAAAGGTGCAGTGATTGCACCACTGCACTCCAGCCTGGATAACAGAGGGAGACACTGTCTCAAAAAAAACAAAAACAAAAACAAAAAAAAAACAAAAGAAATAGGGTGCTATTGTGAGAAATAAAGGGAAAGAAAATCCATCAAATCAAAGACCCACTGGATCAAAATCTACTTACACACTACTATTCCTGTTGGATTTTTTAAAAAATGAGTTTTAAGCCCAAGATATCCATAGCTTCTGATATAGTTTTTTATTTGATTATTTGATTATAACATATAGGTTAAAAGTTGCTCCACATATTTTTATAAATGGATTAAAATGCCCTAATGAATATAATATAAAGGGATCATTTGTAATTAGTATGGAATGAAAATAGTATTTTTTATAAGTTGTAATATTTTATGTCAGATTTTCTTGAAATGAGGGCATAGCTGATGTACCATTATTACAGCTCTCCTTTTTCCATGTCTCCACCCCACCCCTGACCATTTTTTCAGAGATGGGGTCTCACTACGTTGCCCAGGCTTGCCTTCAACTCCTGGGCTGAAAGGATCCCCCTACCTCATCCTGTCAAAAAGCTGGGACTACCAGCAAGTGCCACTATGCTGGCTTTCCCTTTAAAGTAAGGTAAAAGTGGATTTGAATGTATATATTTCAATCAACATTTATAGCTTGCATTGAAGTTTTAAAAATGTAAACAAAACTTCATTACGGTAAACTTAGCTGACTCCTGACTACCAGTGATGCATATTAATAAAATTTCATTTTAGAGTTCTAATTTTCTAAGCCCTTGTATTTACGGAAAGACAGAGCCTATACAACTATAAGAAGAATGAATGAATGAATGAAGAAAGATATACTCTTAGTTAATGTAGCAGGATAACTAGTAGGAGAAAATACCATGTTCATCATTATGTAAAAAATATTAAGAGCTACTTTCTTAATAAGTAGTTGTGCACCTCTAACAAATAAGAGTTTGTCCTTCATCAGTTTGTTTTTTATAAGAGACTGTGGGCCGGGTGCAGTGGCTCATGCCTGTAATCCCACCACTTTGGGAGGCCAAAACAGGCGGATCACCTGAGGTCAGGAGTTTGAGACAAGCCTGCATGGTCTCTACTAAAAACACAAAAAATTAGCCGGGCATGGTGGCAAGTGCCTATAATCTCAGCTACTCGGGAGGCTGAGGCAGGAGAATCACTTGAACTAGGGAGACGGAGGCTGCAGTGAGCCGAGATCGCGCCATTGCACTCCAGCCTGGGTGACAAGAAGAGCGAAACTCTGTCTCCAAAAAAAAAATAAAAGAGAGACTGTGGAGGTTAAGTCTCATATAACGACCCAAGAGACTGAGAAGAGGGCATAAATTAGTATGTAAAACTTAAGAGGAGAATGTGAGATGCGAAAATTTTCCAACTGAAAAAAGGCTCACATTTCTCTTTATAATGGAAAATTGCTCTTAGCTAACAGTGACTCTATCACACCAGGATCTAGGAGACATGATGAGAAATGCTGGGAAGGACCAGTACCAAAAACTCAGTAAATTAGGCAAGATTTTCCAGATTCCTAGAGTCAGACAAAGAACACTTCTGGCAGGAAGAACAATACTATGGCAGACTCTAGGAAATGTGAAGTAAATACACAACTTTGATTCAAAAAAAGCTAAGGCTACTCTTTCATACCTCTTGGTGTGAGACAGAAGACCACAGCAAATGTGTGTTAAGTAGCCAGAAATGTCTGGTACTTCTCATTACCTGCAGGGCATGAGAAATATGTCTTCCAAAATTTCAATTAGGGGAATTCAATCTATTGACTTCTTATGTAGCTGAGGACTTCACTCTCTTATAACATCAACTTTGCAACATGTTTATAGCAAAACTTTTGGCTAACTCACTAGTCACTTCTGACATTATTATGACTAGGAAAATATTTATGTTATTACGACTATATGGAGATAGCTGCCGAGGTAAGAATTTTACAGTAGCCTGGGCAAGACAGTGAGACCCTGTCTCTACAAAAATTTAAAAATTAGCCAGGCGTGCTGGTACCCGCCTGTAGTCCCAGCTACTTAGGGGGTTGAGGTAGGAGCATCACTTGAGCCTGGGAGGTTGAGACTGCAGTGAGTCATGATAGTGCCACTGCACTCCAGCCTGGGCAAGAGAGCAAAACCCTGAGGAAGAAAGAAAAGGAAAGGAAAGAAAAGAAAATACAGGACAAGAAAAGAAAAAAAGGAAAGGAAAGGAGAAAGAAAAAAAAAAAAAAGGAAAGAAGGAAGACACAAGGAAAGAATGAAAAAGAAAGAAATAAAGGCAGAAAGAAAGCATAAGACAAAAAGAAAGGAGAGAAAGAAAAAGAAAAAAGGAGGAAAGAAAGAAGAAAAAGAAAGAAAAGAAAAGAAAGAAAGAAAAAGAGAGAGAGAGAGATGGAGGGAGGGAGGGGGAGGGACAGAAAGAGAGAGGGGGAGGGAGAGGGAGAGAGAGGGAGGGAGAGAGAGGGAGGGAGGGAGAGAGAGGGAGGGAGAGAGAGGGAGGGAGGGAGAAAGAGGGAAGGAGGGAGGGAGGAAAGATTTGATCCTTTTGTAGTTCATGAGCATGATGACTGGGTGTACACGAGTGTGTGTGAGATGTGCCACCCTCCAAATTTGTTATGACCTCAGCACATTGCCCATCTGACCTTAACTTGGAAAAAAAAAGAGAAAGAAAAACTTTTTTTTACAGTAATTGCTCCCTTGCTCATGTAACTGTTTATTTTTCCTATAGTTAGTTACTTGTTTTTTCATGTTAGTAATGCAAATTCCATCTCCCCAACCCCACCACTGAATGCTCCAAGAGATCTAACAAATGCCTATCAATATATTTTCCTAATCTTGAACACATCGTATTATCAATTAATTCCATTTTCTTTCCTTGGAAACCTTTCTTCTGCCGCTAATAATATTCAATTTTCAATGGATTAGTTGCTCTCTAGGCCCAGTAGCTCTTGTCATGGGATTTCTTTTTGCTGTTTTTCTATGTTAAATTCTTTGTTTCCTGGATTCTATAGCATTTGTCTTTGTTGATTATGCACTTATTTGGCTAAAGCATATGTTCCAGATGCTTTCTGAAAAAATACACACGAGCCAGGTGTGGAGGCCAATGCCTGCAGTTCCAGTTACCTGGAAGGCTGAGGTGGGAGGACCGTTTGTGCCAGGAGTTTGAGACCACCCTGGGCAACACAGTGAGGCCCTGTCTCTATTTTTTAAAAGAATGTACAAGGAAGGTAAATTTTTAAAGGATTTGCATATCTGAAATGTCTTTTTTTTTTTTCTTCTTTGGGATAGGTTCTCACTCTGCTGCCCAGACTGGAATGTGGTCCTATAATCATAGCTCACTGCAGTCTCAATCTTCTAGGGCTCAAGCGATCCTCCCACCTCAGCCTCCCAAGCAGCTGGTACTACAGATGTGAGCCACCATGCCCAGCTAATTTTTAAAAATTTTTAAGAGATGGGGCCTAATTATGTTGCTCAGGCTGGTCTCAAGCCATCTCCTAGGCTGAAGCGATCCTCCTGCCTTGGCCTCCCATGTGCTGGGATTATAGACATAAGCCACTATGCCTAGCCAACTCAATTTTTTTTTTTTTTTGAGACGAAGTCTCACTCTGTCGCCAGGCTGGAGTGCAGTGGTGCAATCTTGGTTCATTGCAACCTCTGCCTCCTGGGTTCAAGCGATTCTCCTGCCTCAGCCTCCCTAGTAGCTGGGACTTCTTGTGTGCACCAGCACACCCAGCTAATTTTTGTATTTTTAGTAGAGACGGGGTTTCACCACGTTGCCAAGGATGGTCTCGATCTCTTGACCTCGTGATCTGCCTGCCTCAGCCTCCCAAAGTGCTGGGATTACAGGTGTGGGCCACTGCGCCCGGCTGCCAACTTAATTTTTATTTAGAGACAGGGTGGACTTGGCACTGTCACCCAGGCTGGAGTGTAGCAGCATGATCATAGCTCGCTTCAGCCTCAAATTCCTGGGCTCAAGTGGTTCTCTTGACTCAACATCCCAAGTAGCTGGGACTATAGGCACACACCCAGCTTATGTGGAATAGTTTCATTCTATTTTCACCTTTGATTGTCTGGCAACGTATAGAATTCTAGGTTGAAACCGGCCAGGTGTGGTGGCTCACGTATGTGATCTCAGCACTTTGAGAGGCTGAGGTAGGTGGATCACCTGAGGTCAGGAGTTTGAGATCAGTCTGGTCAACATGTGAAACCCTGTCTCTACTAAAAATATAAAAATTAACTGGGCATGGTGGTGTGTGCCTGTAATCCCAGCTATGGAGGAGGCTGAGGCAGGAGAATCACTTGAACTCAGAAGGCAGAGGATGCAGTGAGCCAAGGTCACACCACTGCACTCTAGCCTGGGTGACAGGGCGAGACTCTGTCTCAAAAAAAAAAAAAAAAAAAAAAAAAGAATTCTAGGTTGAAATTATTTTCCTCAGAAATTTGAAGGTACTGCTCCACTATCTCCTGGAATCCAGTACTACTGTCCAGAACGCTGATGATATTTTGATTCTTGTTTCTTTATCTGTAAGCTATTTATATTTTATCTCCAGAAGCTTTAGAATATTGTTTTTACCCTAATGCCCTGAAATTTCATGATTATGTATTTTAACTTCAGGGCATTTAAGAAATCAATGTGTTTAGCACAAGATTAGATCTTACCACTCTTGAGACATATATTCTTTGGTACTTAGAAACAAATAAGTATGTACCACTATTCCATCGACTTTCTATCCTACATGCAGCTTTTGCTATTTCATCTGCTATGGTCTCCTCTCTCATCTGTCATTGCGGGTTAAAATAAATGTCATTTTTATTTATGTTAGTGGGGATGTAGGAAAGACTGTAGTATCATCACTGCATATGCTAAGTCTACCACATTTAACCATCTCATTGCACCAGAATCCCCTGGGGGTAAGGTTTGGAAATGTTTGAGAAAAGAAAAGCTTCAGGTGCTTCTGGGACCAGCCAGATTTCAAAACCACTGTCCTAGACCATTTATCTTCAAACTCACTTGGAGAACAGGAAACTGAAAATCTAATAGTTCTCTTATCACTAAATTATCAAAAGAACAGTGAGCTGACTGAGCTGACCTGTGAAAGAGCTTGAGAGGAGGAAATGTTTAACCACTGAGTCCTGAGTAATGCCGACAGTACAAACTTGAAGGTCATTTGTTTAATAAAAATGGCAAAGGTACAAATAACGTAGTCAGGAAAATGGAAAAGCTTAAATTGGCAGTGGGGACTTAGGGTTTGACAGGTGGGGCAACAAGGCACAAAAAATGCTCTGGCACAATCTGAGGCTTAGAAGAGAAGCCACTCTTCTCACTCTTCTCTGGGATGAACTGCTAGACCTGGGTCAGCTTGTCTCCTGGTAAAACTACTTATCCAGGGATTGTGACAGGTTGGGTCACAATCAGATACAGTCTTGAAGCATCATCCCAAACCAGAAGGGAAGCCCGAGTGCAGAGGATGCCCAAATAGGTCATGTAAACAAAAGCTGTTTTTATAGAAAGTGCTGGATCAGGGACTGCGAAGGAGGGTCCCTGTAGGGATGAAGAGGCTCTCAAAAGTGATCAAGTCACCAAAATAACTCAAAACTATAGGTAAATCAAGGAAAAGACAGTGGCTATACAAAACTCTGAAGGTGTTGCCAAAGACAAGGCACAGGTATTGTGGCCTGTATGAAGGGTTCTAAACCCTATATGACAGCCACCATAGTGTCCTTCAAGGAGCCTGAGCCCAGGCATGGTGGCTCAAGCCTATAGATGCTTGAGGCCAGGATTTCAAGACCAGCCTGGACAACAATGAGACCATCTATACATACATACATACATACATACATACCTACCTACATACATACATACATGTCTTACAAAGATCCCTGGGCTTTTATGTAAAGTCCTAAGACAAGGCTTCAAGCCCAGCCTGAAGGCAGGGGAGAAGTAGGCTTTTCTGAATATCAAAGCAATCCCTAACGAAGTTACAGTTCAGTGTATTTGAAATCTGTTCAAACTCTCATCAAAGACTCCTTAGACAGAGCTTTGCAGAACTGTATGAAATAGTCAGTACCCGTAACAGACCAGAAAGTCAGTAGTAAGAAAGCCTAGATGATACATCTCTCAGACTCAGCTTTTCTGTTCTAGATGCCCGCATGGAACCACCGCAAATTCCAATGTTACAAATGAGTAAGGTCCATCTAGGCATGGTAGAATTTATGTTTTATTTATTTATGTTTGTGTTTTTCAAACACAGAAGTATTTCTCGTTTTAATGGCTTAGATCTGAAGTAGGTATCTCTGTTTAAAAAAAAAAAGTTTTTTAAAACACAAATGACTGCATTCTGATTCTAATGCACTATAGGAGGAAAAAGTGCTGTGTATTAGAATAAATTCTGGTACTCCTGTTGACCAGACAGTAAGATTTTCACAGCTGGGATGGAGGCAGTGGCTTTAACAATAAATGGCTGGGTGAGGTCAGGGTAGAAGATATCCTGGGCTGAAGAGGAGGAGGATGAACCACTGAACATAGGTGCCTTGCTGCCTTCAGAGTGAGACAAAGGGTGTCAGACACAATTCAAGGAAAAAAAAAGAATATTGGTAAAGTGACAGGAGGTATCAGTAGTTCAAGGAACCACTGCTTCTGCCACAGGTGAGTGGGTAACAATCTGCTTCCTTATGGATATCCCAAGGGAGTCTATAACTCTTTGAAGATTAGGTTTCATTAACATTTATACTCCACAGATATTTCAAGGACCTTGGGAGAAGAGGAGCAAGTATCCATTTTTAATGTTAGGTTGATTATACACAAAATGATCTATCCCTCATTCTTATTCATTAAATATATTGGAGGGAAGTGGATGAATTAACTACTACTGTATATATTTCTGCAAGTTTGTTTAAGTTCTCTAACTCTGGTTTTCCTAAGAAAGAGTACTCATTCTGCAATCTATGCTGAGGCTCCATGGCTGTAGTTTTCAAGCATCTGCCCACCCTATTCTTTTTTGAACCTTCTTCACACAAAATCAAAAGAATTTCTCTGAGAGAGACTAGTGGTCAGATCTGGAACCTAGGGCCACATCTATGAATTCCTTGCAAAAAGGCTTAGGATATTTTAAGACAATATGTAAGTATATGGAGAAACTCAAGCTTGATGGTAAAACCTCTTAAAGACAAGAAGTTTCTATTATTTGATAACCCAGGGTCTAGGACATAGCTGGTTGGAACACAGGAGGTATGCAATAAAAACACATTGAACAAATGAAGTTTCAAAGGTTCTTCAAGGCTGCAACAAACTTCCTGAAAAATGAAAGTGAGTCAGCAGTGGGTGAGCTGTTTTGCCCTTAAGGACACACAGGCATGCCAATGTATGTTAGCCCAAAAAGTTTTTGGTGTTCCTGGTTTGGGGTCAACAAAGAAGCCCTGAGACCTTATTTATATGGGTGTAAAGGTATCTGGCAAAGGCAGAAGGGACCATGACAAGGCATCCTATTAACCAGCAGGGCATGGTAGATACTCTAAAGTAGAGCAGGCAAGAAAATGAATACAGAGAAGTAGGAAACACATAAACAGCAGGGAGGAGGGCAGGTCCAGGCAGGTAAATTTGATGGTTGAGAGATCAGAAGCAACCAGAGCAAAGGGACACAAAGCACTACTGCTGAGCAGCAGGTAGAGGCTGTTTGTTCTCTGCTTTGTTTCACAGAATTACTCTCTAATGGTCGAGAACACTGAGCCCACAGATACTGGGTAATATAGTGAGACAGAGGTGAGAATACAAGAAAAACGACCCTGATGATACAGTAGCAGAAGTACTGGGAGAAATAACAAACAACTTCCCCAAGCAGAAGAGCAACTATAAACAGAAATGTCTGCCTATCTGAAGCAGAACAGTTATACATCTCAGCTGAACCTACTTACCTCTGACTTGCTGTTCTAGACTAAGGATGACTGCCACAGCTTGATGAAGAATAAGGAGTTTTGTTTGGGGTTTTTCACTCTTCAAGTGAAGTTGACACATTCGGCCAAGCTCTTTGAATGCTTCATTAATATCCCGCACGCGTAAGCGTTCTCTGGCATTGTTAGCCATCCGCCTCTCCTTCTCCCTTTCTATCTTCTGTTCAGGGTTCAAATCCTCATCTTCATTAGTACTGCTAGAAAATAAAGTAATGACAAAGTCTATTAGGTTCCCTATAAAGTAAGATATGCTGATTGTGCACAACTATAAAGTGTAAAGATGGATATGAAAACTACCTATAAATTTTGTAAACAGTTGTAATAGGTGCAGTTAACATGACTGTATATTCCTTTCCAATTTTTCTTCAATGCACATATGCAGTCATATAGTTGAAATATACCACATACACACACTTTGAAGTGCATTTTTCATTGCACATTATAGCATAAAGATTTCTCCAGAAACTCTTCATAAATATAAGATCAACAACTACATAATATACTAGCACCTTGCTACACAAAATGTGATCCACAAATCAGCAGCATCAGTATTACTGGGAGCTTATTAAAAATACTGGAGTAGAATCTCTCAGGTTCTACTCCCATCTTACTGAATTAGAAGCTGCATTTTAACATGTTCCCCAGATGACTGATACACACATTACAGTTTGAAAGCCCTCCTAGTACATGAATGTATAATTTACTTAGCTTATGCTCTTAAATATACTCTGGCGGTTACCTGGTAAGAAGAAAGAAGGAAAGCTTAAGATACAGATTGAGAGAAGTATCTCAGAAAATGGCTATTTTTTGTTCTAGAGAGAAATTATCGTCAGTGGTGATGATTATAAAACACGGGAGAAAAGACACAATTTTTTGAAGGGCAAATTGGCAAAAAGAATCCAGAGCCTTAACGTTTATTACCTCTTGATCAGCAATTCCAACTTTGGAAATTCATCCTAAGGATATAATTAGAGATGCACATAGAAATTTATGTAAAAGGAGATGATCACAGAATTATTTACGTTAGCAACATATTGGGGTCTAATAATAGGAAATGGGTTAAATAAATCATAGTACATTCAGACAATGCACTGTTATATAGTTTCTAAAATCAAGCCGCAGATTATGCTAAGTAAAAAAAGCCAGTCATGAAAGATCACATACATACTCTACAATTCCATTTACGTGAACTTCTAGAAAAGACAAAACTATGGTAACAGAAAGCAGATCAATGGCTGCCAAGGACCATGGGATTGAGGAAAGGGACTCACTACCAAGGGGAATAAGGACATTTTTTGAGGTGGTGAAAATATTCAACATTATGAATATGGTGGCTTGTTATATAACTTTTACACTTGTCAAAATGACAAAATATACACATTTTAACATACATACAGACTGTATATTTAAAATTAGTGAATTTTATTATTACATGTGTATTAAGCCTCAATAAAGCTGATCCAAAACAAAAACACAACACTTTAAAAAAATACATTGTTGAGGTGGGTCACTTCCAAGATGGCCAAATAAGAAGAGCTCTGGTCTACAGCTCCCAGCAAGATTGATGCAGAAGATGGGTGATTTCTGCATTTCCAACTGAGGTACCTGGTTCATCTCATTGGGAATGGCTGGACAGTGGGTGCAGCCCATGGAGGGTGAGCTGAAGCAGGGCGGGGCATCGCCTCACCCAGGAAGCACAAGGAGTTGGGGGATTACCCTTTCCTAGCCAAGGGAAGCCATGAGTGACTGTACCTGGAGCAGCAGTACACTCCTGCCCAAATACTGCACTTTTCCCATGGTCTTTGCAACGAGCAGACCAGGAGATTCCCTCCCGTGCCTGGCACAGTGGGTCCCAGGCCCACGGATCGTTGCTTGTTGCTAGCACAGCAGTCTGAGATTGACCTGGGATGCTTAAGCTTGGCTGGAGAAAGGGCATCTGCCATGCTGAGGCTTGAGTAGGCAGTTCTATGCTCACAGTGTCAACAAAGTGGCAGGGAAGCTCGAACTGGGTGGAGCTCACTGCAGCCCAGCAAGGCCTACTGCCTCTCTAGATTCTACCTGTGGGGCAGGGCGTATCTGAACAAAAAGCAGCAGACAGCTTCTCCAGACTTAAACAGCCCTGCCTGACAGCTTTGAAGAGAACAGTGGTTCTCCCAGCATGGCATTCGAGCTCCGATAATGGACAGATTGCCTCCTCAAGTGGGTCCCTGACCCCCGTGTAGCCTGACTGGGAGACACCTCCCAGGAGGGACCGAAAGACACCTCACACAGGCGGGTGCCCCTGTGGGACGAAACTTTCAGAGAAAGGATCAGGCAGTAATATTTGCTGTTCTGCAGCCTCTGCTGGTGATACCCAGGCAAACAGGGTCTGCAGTGGACCTCCAGCAAACTCCCAACAGACCTGCAGCTAAGGGGCTGGTCTGTCAGAAGGAAAACTAACAAACAGAAAGGAATAGCATCAACATCAACAAAAAGGACATCCACACCAAAACCCCATTTGTAGGTCACCAACATCAAAAACCAAAGGCAGATAAAACTTTATCTTTGTGGGGTTTTATCTACCCAGCCAGAGCAGAAAGGTTGAAAATTCCAAAAGCCAGAACGCTACTTCTCCTCCAAAGGGACACAACTCTTCATCAACAAGGGAGCAAAACTGGATGGAGAATGAGTCTGACAAGCTGACAGAAGCAGGCTTCAGAAGGTCAGTGACAACAAACTTCTCCAGGCTAAAGCAGCATGTTCTAACCCACTGTAAGGAAGCAAAAAACTTTGAAAACAGGCTAGACGAATGGCTAAATAGAATAACCAGTGTAGAGAGGACCTTAAATGACCTGATGGAGCTGAAAACCACAGTACGAGAACTTCGTGAAGCATACACAAGCTTCAATAGCTGATTCGATCAAGCAGAAGAAAGGATATCAGTGACTGAAGATCAAATTAATGAAATAAAGCGAGAAGACAAGGTTAGAGAAAAAAGAGTGAAAACAAATGAACAAAGCCTCCAAGAAATATGGGACTATGTAAAAAGACCAAATCTACGTTTGATTGATGTACCTGAAAGTGATGGGGAGAATGGAACCAAGTTAGAAAACACTCTTCAGGATATTATCCAGGAGAACTTTCCCAACCTAGCAAGGCAGGCCAACATTCAAATTCAGGAAATACAGAGAACACCACAAAGATACTCCTCAAGAAGAGCAACCCCAAGACACATAATTGTCAGATTCACCAAGGTTGAAATGAAGGAAAAAATGTTAAGGGCAGCCAGAGAGCAAGGTCAGATTACCCACAAAGGGAAGCCCATCAGACTAACAGCGGATCTCTCAGTAGAAACCCTACAGGCCAGAAGAGAGTGGGGACCAATATTCAACATTTTTAAAGAAAAGAATTTAACCCAGAATTTCATATCCAGCCAAACTAAGCTTCATAAGTGAAGGAAAAATAAAATCCTTTACAGACAAGCAAATGCTGAGAGATTTTGTCGCCACCAGACCTGCCTTACAAGAGCTCCTGAAGGAAGCACTAAACATGGAAAGAAATGACTGGTATCAGCCACTGCAAAAATGTGCCAAATTGTAAAGACCATTGACGCTATGAAGAAACTGCATCAATTAATGGGCAAAATAACCAGTAGTATCATAATGACAGGATCAAATTAACACATAACAATATTAACCTTAAATGTAAATGGGTTAAATGCCCCAATTAAAAGACAGAGACTGACAAATTGGACAGAGTCAAGACCCATCAATGTGCTGTACTCAGGAGACTCACGTCACGTGCAAAGACACACACAGACTCAAAATAAAGGGATGGAGGAAGATCTACCAAGCAAACAGAACGGGGAAAAAAAAAAAAAAAAAAAAAAAAAAGGCAAGCAGGGGTTGCAATCCTGGTCTCTGATAAAACAGACTTTCAACCAACAAAGATAAAAAGAGACAAAGAAAGCCATTACATAATGGTAAAGGGATCAATGCAACAAGAAGAGCTAACTATCCTAAATATATACACACCCAATACAGGAGCACCCAGATTCATAAAGAAAGTTCTTACAGACCTACAAAGAGACTTACACTCCCACACAATAATAACGTGAGACTTTAACACCCCATTGGCAATATTAGATCAACGACACAGAAAATTAACAAGGATATCCAGGACTTGAACTCAGCTCTGGACCAAGTGGACTTAACAGTCATCTACAGAACTCTCCACCCCAAATCAACAGAATATACATTCTTCTCAGCACTACATCGCACTTATTCTAAAATTGACCACATAATTGGAAGTAAAACACTCCTCAGCAAATGTAAAAGAATAGAAATCACAACAAACTGTCTCTCAGACCACAGTGAAATCAAATTAGAACTTATCAGGGGGAAAAAAAAAAGTAAACTGGTTAATTCTGAATAGTGGGGTTTCTTGTGATTTCTGTGTATACTTTTCTGTATTTTCTAAATTTCTGTAATGAAAATAGACTACATAATCAGAAAAAAAATATGAGGGAGATGCTCTGTAACAGCTTATAGAAAGTTCTATTTATGATTCAGATATAAATTACTGACCATGGCTTCTCAGAACCTTGAAATAACGTGCAAAAATATCAGACATTTTTACCTCTTCTTTAATACCCTGAGTATTCTAATAAAAGAACAAGTACACAGGCCAGGCATGGTGGCTCGTGCTTGTAACCTAAGTGGTTTGGGAAGCTGAGGCGGGCATGGCGGAACTGCCTGAGTCCAGCAGTTTGAGGTTGTCCACTGCACTCCAGCCTGGGTGACAAACAGAGACCCTGTCTCTAAAAAGTATGTAATATCTTACCTGCTAATCACTAAGAATTATATAAATGCATTCTTTTGACAAAAGAAAATCACTGGTTCTTTGACTTCAAAAGGGCTTTTAAAGATCAATGAGCCCAATGGTGCCCACAGATAGCCACTCATTAGAATCTCCAGGAGCACTTAAAAAACACAGCTTTCCAGATCTCACTACCAGGGATGCTAGACTCACTAATTTAGTGAGTTTGGGTTGGGGCCTAGGCACCTGTATTTCTAAAATGTTCCAGGGTCTGTGCAGCAGGGCTGAGAACCACTTCAAGACCTAGGATCACACAGCTAATTGGTGGCAGTATAATGATGAGATGTCAGGTCCGTGCTCCATGGAAGCAAGCCTACACCATACACTTAAAATTACCACCATAACATTACCACTGTAACAGTAGATATAGTATCATTATTGAGTGCTTACTGTGTGCTACACAGTGTGCAAAGGGTTTTACATACATCATTTTCAGGTTATTCCTACAAGAATCCTGTAACAGAAAGTCTGTTTTTAGAGAAGAAGAAACTGAGCTCAAAGACTTGCCCAAAGTCACTTGGCAAGTATGTAATGGAACCAGAATTCAAATCCTTATTTTGTCCAAGGGTCATGTTATTAACCTATTCATTATTATGGACTATTACTAACCTATTACGCTGCCTCCTAATTTCTGATGACCTATAATATGGGTCAGCAAACTGATCTATGAGCTGGTCATCCGTTTTTGTAAGTAAAATTTTATCAGAACAGTGATACCCATTTGACTTTGGCTACTTTTGTGCTATGATGGCAGAGGTGAGTAGCTGTGACAGAGACTATATGTCCAATAAAGCCTAAAATCGTCACTATTTGGGCCTTTATAGAGAAAGTTTGCTGATTCCTGATCTCTAAGATGATGAATACGGAGGAAAGATGTAAACTGTTTCCCTTAAAATTCTATTTGAATAAAAACTATGTAAGAGTTAAGATGCCTCCATAGAGTGGTCTCTGAATTCCTTGACACAGTTTTTCCTTCCTTATGCCCCTGATAGTTGAGTACACTGCATATTAAAGTAACAACATTAACATCATAAGATTTCCTTTTTCCCAAGATAAATGTTTAGGTGTTGAAAACAGTGAGAATGTCAAAAGAGCAAAAGGACCCCTTTTAAGTACGTGAATGACAGAAAGGACCATTCTGCTTCTTTTAGTTTTATCTACTATCCTCATTGCACCATAATTCACCACAAAGAACGATGTTTTAAATCTGTATAAGATATAAACATATCATTGATAAATGAGTATGTATGCCAAGAAATAGGGTGTACCACAAATATACTAAATGATCTAACTTTTAAATTTTCATCAAAAAAAGTATTTTTTTTTAGAGACAGCATTTCTGTGTGAGCCAGGCTACAGCGCAGTGGCATGATCACGGCTCACTACAGCCTCAAACTTCTGAACTCAAGCAATCTTCCTGCCTTACCCTCCCAAGTAGCTGGGACTACGGGCGTTTGCCACCATGCCCCGCTGGTTTTTATAACTTTTTGTAGAGACAGAATCTAGCTATGTAGCCCAGGCTGGTCTTGAACTTCTGGTCTCAAGTGATCCTCCTGCGTTAGCCACCCAAAGTGCTGGGATTACAGGCATGAGCCACTGTGCCTGGCCTAACTCATCTAATTTTAATGTAGAACTAGAAGAAAAATTTGAAGGAAAAATCTGGAAATCACTTGAAACTAATGTACTATGTGTCTGTATTCATACTTCAAAGCAAGGTCAAGTCCATTTTCTAGAAAACTCCATGACATCATTCTGCCTAGAATATTTCCTTTTTCATACTTTTCTCAAATTACTATTTAAATGTTTGTTAAAAACAAACATTTTTTGAGAAGGACCGATGGTAAATATTCTCAGCTTTGGTGGGCCATATAGTCTCTGTGGCAACTATTCTAGTCTGGCAATGCAGTATGAAAACAGTCACAGACAATGGGTAAATGAATGGCGCATGGTGGTGTTCTAATAAAACTTTATAAAAACAGGCAGCACCCAGGCGCAGTGGCTCACACCTGTAATCCCAGCACTTTGGGAGGACGAGGTGAGCAGATCACTTGAGGCCAGGAGTTTGAAACCAGCCTGGAAAATATGGTGAAACCCTGTCTCTACTAAAAATACAAAAATTAGCCAGGCATGGCGCCTGCCTGTTATCCCAGCCACTTGGGAGGCTGAGGCTGCAGTGAGCCAAGATCACACCATGGCATTCCAGCCTGGGTGACAGCGAGACCCTGTCTTAAAATACACATGCGCGTGCGCGCGCAGACACACACACACACACACACACACACACACACACACACACACACACAAATAAAATAATAAAAACAAAAACAAAAATAGGCAGTGAGCTGGGTAGGCCCATGGGCCATAATTTGCAGACTCCTTGTTTAATTAAATCAGTCTTACCATATATTTAGCCCTTATATTAATACACAGTTATGAGCCCATAACAACATTCTGGTCAATGAAGGACTACATATATGACAAGGGTCTTATTATATTGGAGCTAAAAAATGTCTACTATCTAGTAATGTAGCTGTGGTAAGGCTGCAGCACGTTAGTCACGTAATGCATCGTTTGTATAGGTGCTGATATAAACAAACATACTGTGCTGCCAGTTGTATAAAAGCATGCAATGAAGTACAGTACACACTACAGCAAGTCCTTAATGTCATTGATCAGTTCTTGGAAACTGCAACTTCATGCAAAATGACATACAATAAAACCAGTTTTATCATAGGTTAATTGATATAAATAAGAGGTAAGTTCCTACAGTACATTTCTGGTGACAAAATACCACCAAACTTCTAAATAAAGACCAAAATACACTTCTAATATTAAACAATGAAATAAATGTGAACTATTCATACATTTAAGAAAGACTCATAAAAATAAGTAAGATTATTATTTACCCAATTATTCCAGTTCAGGGTCAGTGGGAGGCTGGAGCCTATCCCAGCAGCTCAGGGAGCAAGGCAGAAACAACCCTGGACAGGATGCCATTTCATTGCAGGGTACACTCTCACACACACCCACACTCTCTCATACTGGGACAATTTAGACACATTAATCAACCTAATGCACATTTTCGGGGTGAAGGAAGACACTGGAGTACTCAGAGAAAACCCACATGAGGAGACGTGGGAAGAATGTGCAAACTCTACAACGAAAGAGGTTCCAGCTAGGAATCAATTTTTTTTCTTATCATTTCACAAAATGATGTTTTTTGAGGACCTGCTGTACTTGATAATAACTAGTTATGTTATTGGTTTATGTATTTATACTACACTATACTATACTATACTATACTATACTATACTATACTATACTATACTATTTATCATTAGGGTATACTTCTAACTTAAAAAAAAAGTTGGCTGGGTGCGGTGGCCCACGTCTGTAATCCCAGCACTTTTGGAGGCCAAGGCAAGCAGATCACTGGAGGTCAGGAGTTCGAGACCAGCCTGGCCAACGTGGCGAAATTCCATCTCTACTAAAAATACAAAAATTCACCAGGCGTGGTGGCAGGCACCTGTGGTCCCAGCTACTCTGGAGGCTGAGGCAAGAGCACTGCTTGAACCCGCGAGGCGGAGGCTGCAGTGAGCTGAGATTGTGCCACTGCACTCCAGCCTGGGTGACAAGAGCGAGACTCCATCTCAAAAAAACAACAAAAAAAGAAAAGGTTAACTGTAAGACCTGAAGGCAGGTCCTTTAGGAGGTATTCCAGAAGAGGGCTTTGTTACCATAGGAGATGACAGCTTCCTGCATGTTACTTACTGCCTGTGAAGATGTTCAGTGGGACAAGATGTGGAGGTGGAAGACAGTGATATTAATGATCTTGACCTTGTGGAGGCCTAGGCTAACATGTGTGTTTATGTCTTAGTTTTTAACAAAATTTTGAAAAGTAAAAAAAAAAAAATTTAAATAGAAAAAAGCTTACAAAGGCCGGGTACGGTCGCTCATGCCTGTAATCCCAGCATTTTGGGAGGCTGAGGTAGGCAGATCACTTGCGGTCAGGAGTTCCAGACTTGTCTGGCCAACATGGTGAAACCCCGTCTCTACTAAAACTACAAAAATTAGCCTGGAGTGGTGAGGGGTACCTGTAATCCCAGCTACTTGGGAGGCTGAGGCAGGAGAATCATTTGAACCCAGGAGGCGGGGGTTGCAGTGATCCGAGATGATGCCACTGCATTCCAGCCTGGGTGACAGAGCAAGACTCCATCTCAAAACAAAAAAAACCCAAAAAAACAAAAAAAGCTTACAAAAGAACTTAAAGAAAATATTTTTGTATAGCTATATAATGTGTTTGTGTTTTAAGCTATCACTACAAGAGTCAAAAAGTTAAAAATAATGTAAAAGTTTTTAAAGTAAAAGACATACAGTAAGCTAAGGTTAATTTACTATCAAAGAGAAATATGTTTTAATAAATGAAATATAGCCTAAATGTACAGTGTCTGTAAAGTCTACAATAGTGTACAGAAATGTCCTAGGCCCTCACATTCACTCACCACCTGCTCATTGAATCACCCAGAGCAATTTCGAGTCCTGCAAGCTCTATTCAAGATAAGTGCCCTATAGAGGTGTACCATTTTGTATCTTTTATTTTTACTGTGCCTTTTAGGTGTTTAGATACATAAATTCTTACCATTGTGTTACAACTGCCTATAGCACTCAGTTCAGTAACATGGTATACAGGTACACAGCCTAGGAACAGGTTAGGTTTGTGAAAGTATACTGTATGTTTGCACAATGATGAAATTGCCTAGCAATGCATTTCTTAGAATATATCCCGTTGTTAAGTGACACCTGACCATATTCAAATACTAATTGATAAAATGTAAATGTCCGTAACACACAATTTAACTTCTTTTAGCTATTTTACCTTCTACTTGTCCAACAGACTAAGCAACTTGAGCGAAGAGATATAATTATATTTTATATATAGTCCCTCAAATGGTGTAGTATGAAGGAAAACATAATTTTGAAATCAAACCTTCATATACTTCTCTTTTATAGGGATGACGTGGTGATTGAGACAACATACACAAAAATCCTAACACGATATCTAGAACATAGCTGGCAGTTAATAAATGCATGACACCCAACTTCTCAAGTATTTTTACCTATGGAAAATGAGTAAAATTTAAAACCTGGATGCTAACAAATACCTTGTTCTGCCTCTAGATGAAACCTTGATGTCTTTTTGGGAGGATTCATCATCTGACTTCATGTCATCTGATGAAGGAGGTTCATGAAAGTTTTCATCCTTTTCTTTGTTTTCAGTCTTGATTTCTGTTGTAACAACAGTTCCAGACTGACTCTGCAAGCCACCTAACAAAGAGGCAAAGGAAAGATAAAAGACGAGACGCATTTATGAATTAGAGCTAAGACAATAAAAAGCTTTCCAGCTGGTGAATATCCTTAGCAGTTACAGGGTTAGGATGGAGGTTTGAAGATGTAGGAAAGTATACTATTTAGAGCTGAAAAGAATGTCTACATCCTTGTGCTTTTTAACAGCATTTATATTTAAAAGAACAAGTCTGACCCCTATGGCCAGTCTAATGCTCACTTTCAGGCACTATTTAACAAAAGAACAAGGATGAGAAACAATGGATTTTAGAAACTAACTTCTAAGATGCTGCAGAGGTAAAGGACATAAGCTTAACATCTTCCTGGATACACAGTAAAATAGGCATCATGGTTAAATGTAACTGGGAGAACTTTATTTTGGTGATCTTATTTGCACTTTTAAGTGCTCTATCTTCACACTTATTTGTAAGCTCTATTGGAGCAGTGATCAAGTTTGTTTTTTATCGAAACTGTATGTCTCTTCAATCAAACGATAATCTCTAAAACAACAGCTTCCATCATTCAGAGCTCTCAGTATAGTCAGAAATATCTGTCACTGCCTCTAGGGACCATGAAGATACATTCATGAGGGAAAATGTCTGAGGAAGAGGGACATGACAGAACAGGAAGAGGTAAAAGATAACTGGTAAATACTGAGCAATAGTCTGTACGTGGATCTATTCACCAATAAGCATCTGTAATTGTCAACCTAGGTGGGCCAGTTGGAACCCTAAATATCTGCTCTCCACAGTACTATCTGGAATTCCCTCACCTAAATGACTTTTGATTCACAGAGATCAATCCAGCTGTGAGAAAGGTGAGAGTGTTTCAAATGACATCTCTGTCTGCATTAAATCTGAAAACCAACAATATAGTTACCTCTATAATTTTCTTGTGTTTTATGGTTCAGGTCTGTGCTTGAAGTAGTGACTGTACTAGACAGGACTGAATGATTGCCATTGAGACTGACAGAGTCTTCCCGATGAGTTCCAACCTAAAGTTAAAGAAAATCCACAAAAACCCAAAAATAAAAAAATGATCAAGATAGTTCAGGGGCAATAACTGTCCAAATTATTCTACTTGGTTTAACAGAGAAAACAGTATCACTCATCTGATTTCAGCAACTTTTTCTGGATGTCATTATTCTGGTTTTTGGGGAGAATTTCAAAATATTAATACTTCACAGTAGTACTGCTTTTAAATCAAAAGAACACATACCGTTTTTTAAAAATGAAACTTCTAATTTGTAAATTTTAAATCCCACAGAGGGTGTTTGTGAGAAACAAACGAGCTGATAAAGCATTCTATAAGTCACAATGCACTACACATCATACGGTCTATTAATAATCCTATATAATCAGTCGGAAAATCTATTTCATATAATACCTAAATACATTAAAGTATGCATGAACTGGCATTGAACAAAATACTTCTACATTCCAAGCAATAGTAGTATTTATCTAAGTTTGCCCCTCTATCATATATAGTATCTTATTTTTTCTCTGTCTCCCTTCAAAATTTTTGAAAGAGCAATAAAAGCAATACAAAATTAAAAGAATTCAGGCCGGGCGCGGTGGCTCACACCTGTAATCCCAGCACTTTGGGAGGCAGAGGCAGGCAGATCACAAGGTTAGGAAATCAAGACCATCCTAGCTAACACGGTGAAACCTCATCTCTACTAAAAATACAAAAAATTAGCTGCGCATGGTAGCGGGTGTCTGTAGTCCCAGCTACTTGGGAGGCTGAGGCAGGAGGATGGTGGGAACCCGGGAGGCGGAGCTTGCAGTGAGCAAGATCATGCCACTGAACTCCAGCCTGGGCGACAGAGCAAGACTCTGTCTCAAAAACAAAACAAAACGAACAAGCAAGCAAACAAACAACAACAACAACAAAAGAACTAAACAAAAGTTGTGCATTGCTAGGCAGCAAAATTGGCATGTATTTTTATTTTCAGCTTTAATCAAACTTATATGAGTCACAGTTAACCTGAAATAGAAAAGCTAAAGCATGCAAATACCATCAGTCAGCTATTGCAATATTAATATACATAGAAAAACTTGTTACAGATGAAGTTTTTATTATAATAGTAGCAGACGTGTCAACTAGAAGATTAAGTTTTTAATTAAATAGGTTTATTGCCTGGAGTTATACATGAGAACCACTGTTTTTCAATAAATCCTTCAATCCTAGTAAACTGCCAAGCTTTGAATCCCTCTTGAGTAATTAATATAGCTTTGATCTTCCATGACTTTGTATGATTTTACCCTAAGAGGAATAAATACCCCTATGCGGAGTTTATCCTTTGGTTTTTCTGTGAGCTAAACAAAAGGAACCAAAGCAAAATTTTAGGTAATACAGGTCATTTGGTAGTAGATCTAATTAGAATAGATTCGTTCTTCCACCACACTTTCTAAGAAATGTTTGTGTTTTACACTTATTCTCATCTTTATTTTTAAGAAGCCCATTTAGTGGATTTTAAAATTTAATTCAATAGTTACTTTTAAAACGATTTTAGGATTGGTCATTGCTGAGCACTATTTGTGTCACTACTCCCTTAGGTAATAATCATGCATCCACTACACCCTTTTCCTAAACCACAAATTTCACCATGTATTGGAATCACAAATCTTAAAGCTGGGAAGGGACCACAGAAACTATGGCAGACTTCCATCCCACTTCCCACTTTCAGAAAGTTTCAGTATTTAGTTGTTCCCCTAAAAAACTTGAGAAGAATCTGAAGTACTCAACCTAACAATCAGTAAAGAAATGGACTGTGAAAATTGTATTTAAGAGAGCAAATTATTTTTAAAATGTTTCAAGAAATTCTGTTTCAAGGGTATCATGGTCTTGTTTATTCTTAACGAACGAGGGTGCTTTCTTACTATGAAGTACTCAGTGATCTAAGAGGAAAGGAAGTTCAAAATCCCATTTTATAAAAATAGATATGGGCAAACACAATATATGGCTGCAAATTCTTTGGAACCTTGGAAGATAAGGCCTATTCTAAAGATTAAATACATCTAGGAGAATTTTGATGGGCTGGGGAGATAATTGTAAGTTAAAGTAAAAGCTGAGGTGTATTTGTATTTATAATAATGTGGACTTGAAACTTCGATGATCCCTGGCAATATGTGCTAATTCTGTTTTTACACAACATTTTGAACTATCACACCAAGTAATTTAAAAGGAAATAGCCTTCTAAAATTTAAATTTTAAACATACGTATACTTAGTGTATGTTACACATGTGAAACATTTTATAGCTATGTAAGGCAATACTACTGAACAGTAACAAATTGAATTTTCACTTATCTAAGTGATGATGCATCTGCTGAATTCTGATTTCCTTTTACTTCATCAGTATAAATAATTCTTTGATTTTTTAAAAAACTCAACTATTAAAAAAATGTCTGATCATTATCTAAATAATAAATCTTAGAAATTTTACTTTTCCCTTAAGGAAAATCAGAAAGGGTGCTAGATTTGTTTTGCAACAGAAACACCAGCAAATATTTTTACACTATAGAATAATACAAACTAAGTATTTTCTCACATGAACTTAAACATAGTTTACAAAAGAAAAAATTTAACTGGCACACACAGCAAAAATATAAGCCTTTAAAAAAAAGGCCTCAGACTAGAAGAAGGCTTGAAGTCTGGAGTTTTTCATGTTAATGAAGTTAGCAGGAACTTTTTCTTTGTAACTTGATTCCCCTTGCAAAGGGCCCTCATATATTTTCTGGAGAATTTGACTTTCACAGTTCTTACAGTTCTCTTTAACCCTTGCTCTCCTGGGCTCCCAAGTCTTCCCTTTAATCTGCAGCTCCACATTCAAATGGCTCTGTCTACACATACAACAGGTGTATAAACAGTTCTTTGTCTGAGCCTAGAGCCTGTGGGGCCAGCCAGATAGGACTCAGTTTAATTGTTCACCTCGTTAGCATACAGCTGACAGGCTGCGGCTGTTGGGGGAGTAGCAGGGCAAGGCAAACCCCAAGGCCTGCTACCCTCTATGTTTCAATGATTATGAAGAGCTCCATTTCAGAATAAAAGGCCCATGCCATTAAATGACACCATCCTGCATACTCAATCTTCACAATCTATGTATGGCCTTACTTTTCTGGGAGCACCCAACAATGGACTTGTTTTCATTTAATTTGGCCAATGGCTTTAGCGCTCACAATGGAAAAATGTTAAATCTAATTAGTTGATTAATAAGAGGTCTTGTGAATTAAGGGACAAACTGAAAAACAGTATGAATTCCTCTTGATTTTGAATTCTATTCTAATAATTTGTTCAATTTGTACTATTCACTGAATACTAATGATTTAATCACTATTAATTTACAGATTGGTTAAAGGATCTTTATATACTGTCCACTCCAAGATTTTGATTTATCTGAAAAGAGGTTTTACTAGAAACTTGGTAGTATTACATTTGTTACGGTTCCTTTTAAATATTTCCATAAATGTATAACCTCTACGGTTTTCAAATTTAAAAACAGTTGCCATTTTGAACAATTGTGAATTTTAAAATGTTATCAAAAGCCTTAAAAAGCACTATAATGTAGTCTTAATAAAAATAAAAATTTTAAAAATTGCCCATTTAGGAAAAATTACTTGGAAAGAGTAAAAGAGTGGTTAAAAGTAAAATCCTTCTACTCAGTTGAAACATAGACACACAACTTCTACCGTATTACAAACCCCTTTACTAAAATTAAATACTGTCCAAATGGAAGATTAAAATGATTTCAAATTTATTTTGATAAATGACAAAAATGCCAAGATAATTTTGAATAAAATATTACCCTATTTGCCTATCAGTCTTTACTTAGTCTTAAGTCTCCTGTAACTAAGAAACATATAGTTTCTCTAACTGCTTTAAAATTTAGAAAACAGATATGATTTATATTTTTAAATGATTGTATAAGGCAGACTTACATTCTATAATTTAACATTATTTACTATGCTCTCATACAAGAATATGTCACTTCTTCAACCACCACTTAAAAACAAAAAACCCAAGCAATACCAAAAACTAACTAAGAGAAATGCCTGGATTAAATTTTATCAGGACTTGTAACAATGAAATCAAAAGATCTCACAGATAAAATTTTATCCTCTGTCATGAATAAGAAACTGTTTTAGATCTGCATCAAGTTTCCATTAGTACAAAATGCTTCGAATTTCATTTAGTTTTGGTTTGAAGTTGAAGTTACTGTCTGATTGAGAAATAACAGTACTTTTCATTAAAGAGAAAGGTACTTTGATGGAGTTATCTTGTTGGCCCTAGGTACCTAGGTATTACAGCCATAAATCGATGGGATGTACACTAACTTTATACTGCAGAGAGCTCTTTGTAATGCTCAAATGAAATTCATGATTCTCTCTTTTTTAAAAATTGATACAGAATCTCACTCTGTCACTCAGGATGAAGTGTGGTAGTGTGATCACGGCTCACTGCAGCCTTGAACTGCTGGAACAAGTGATCCTCTCACTTCTTCCTCACAAGTACCTGGGATTATAGGCATGAGCCACCACATATGGCTAAGATGAGGTCTCCCCATGTTGCCCAGGCTGGTCTTGAACTCCTAGGCTGAAGCAATAGTTCCACCTTAGCCTCCCGAAGTGCTGGGATTACAGGTGTAAGCCACCATACATTGCTAAAATTCGTGATTCCTTTTATTTTCAGTTTTCTACTAAAAAAATTTTCTCCTCAGTAGTTTATTCTAAAAGTTTAGCCTTAGCTAAATAAATGGGAACAAAACTAAAGCCAAATGCTGACATTTCAATAGTTCTAAAAACTCTTGATTTCATGTTATAAAATTTAAATGACATATCAATATCAAATACTAATGAGGACAAGGAAATGCTTGGCCAAATGGTTACTGTGTCCATGCAAACTTTACACTGCTAGCAACCTTGATCACTGACTTGTCTGTACTGCAGACTGGGAGCTGACCTGTCTGTACCTCTATCTTATCTTATCTTATCTTTCTATCTATCTATCTATCTATCTATCTAATCTATCTAAATATATATTATACATATAAATAAATTTATATAAATTTATATATATATATATATTTTTTTTTTAAGAGACAGGGTCTCACTCTGTTGTCCAGGCTCAAGTGCAGTGGTATGATCATAGCTCACTACAGCCTCAAACTTCTGAGCTCAAGCAATCCTCTTGCCTCAGCCTCCTTCTGAGTAGCTGGGACCACTGGTGTATGGCACCATGCTCACTTAATTAAAATTTTTTTTTGTAGATACAGGTTCTCACTTTGTTGTCTAGGTTGGTTTCAAACTCCTGCTTCTCGCAATCCACCCAGCTTTGGCCTCCCAAAGTGCTGAGATTACAGGTGTGAACTACCATGCCTGGCGTGTACCACTTTTATCCTGCCATCAACTCTTACTCTTCCACTATCAGTGTGTCTTGGCTCGCCTCAAGTTACTCAATTACTTCAACAAAACTCTCAAACTACTCATGAACATAAGCCAAATGTTATAGGCTCCAAGAAAAAGAAAAACTTGTTAGCCCCATTATATCTGCTGGGGTGCCAATTTATGTTATAAATCAGGAATTCACAAGGTCTGGCCTGTAGCCAAATATTGACCTGTGTTTTTGTAAATAAAGGAGCTTGTTTTTGTAAATACAATTTTATTGGAATATATCCATGCCCATCTGTTTTCATATTGTCTATAGCTGCTTTCATATTATATTGTCAGAGTTAAGTAGTTGTGACAGAGACTATGTAGCCTACAAAGCTGAAAATATTTACTCTCTGGCCCTTTATAGAAAAAGCATATTGAACCCTTTTCTAAATGCTCGGAGGAAAAGTGATATATTTAAACCCTACAATTAGGATTCTGTCCATTAGGATAAAGTTCCATTATAACAAAAATGTCATCTGAATGTTCTGTGGAGGTCGTGAAAATACCTACATTTATCAGAATAATTCTATTCTCTGCAATAAACAAATGGAATAACGAAAAGCAAGTGTTTCTGAAAGCAGCTGACCTCATGAATTCTATACGGTGGTACAAAATTGCTGATCAACAAGTGTGTCTGTGATCACTTTGTAAGTTTGGCCACGTAGCCTCCATTATCAGGAGCCTAAAACACACTGAACAACAGCTTGGGCTAGTTGCTGTGGCACTAATGTTGCAGCTCAGACTAAGCCAGACTCATCTCATGTCTCAGGAGACCATTTTTTCTGGACTACTTTGAGATTTTTTTCTTTTTAACTTACGCGAATGCAGAAAAAGATAGACAAACTTCTGGAAAGTTATGAGAGACCAAAAACAAGGCGGGGCGGGAGGGTGGGGAATTGATTCCAGAATGTAAAACCACATTATTTCTTAGTCATGATCAGTTAGGAGGATGTATGGTTGTGACCAGGGGAAAATAAAAGCTGGAGATTAACTCTTGGAGACAGTTGGCAAGAGTTACAAAAACGTGCCCCCAAAATCACACACTCTGCAAGAATATGAAGAGTTGATGCCATACAGGTGGGTGCTGAGCATGTAAACAAAGGGATCCCAGCAGTACTAATGGAAGTCCTCAGACATGGAAAAGAACCACCACGATAAGACAGTCTTCCTCAATAAGATGCCTACGACTCTGAGGGGATAGTCAGTGGCAGACTAATCTTCCTTTCATTCCATCCTTTGGTCTTTTTGCTGAAGCTGAGAACTGAGGACCCAGCAGCTAAAAGGCTTACTTCAGAAGGACAGGAGATGAATACTGACTCACCTAACAGTGTCAGATTTTGTCAACTAATAACTTTGTATTTTGAGGCTAAGCCTGGCAGGTACATCTTATCTCCACTGCTAAAAGTATTACTGATTGTGCCTGGATGAGATGAAAATAGCAGATGATTTCTGGCAGATTTTCCACAGCTCTGTACCCACTGAGGTGGTAAGGAGTGAAGAGAAGGCCGTGATAGACACACTGAACAACAGCTTGGGCTAGCTGCTGTGGCACTAATGTTGCAGCTCAGACTAAGCCAGACTCACCTCACGTCTCAGGAGACCATTTTTTCTAGACTACTTTGAGATTTTTTTCTTTTTAAGAATCTCTCTGGCCAGGTGCAGTGGCTCACGCCTGTAATCCCAGCACTTTGGGAGGCCAAGGTGGGTGGATCACAAGGTCAGGAGTTCGAGACCAGCCTGGTCAATATGGTGAAACCCCATTTCTACTCAAAATAGAAAAATTAGCTGGATGTGGTGGCGGGTGCCTATAATCCCAGCTATTCAGGAGGCTGAGGCAGGAGAATCACTTGCATCTGGGAGGCAGAGGTTGTAGTGAGCCAAGATCACGTCATTGCACTCCAGCCTGGGTGACAGAGCGAGACTCCATCTCAAAAAACAAACAAAAAAACTATCTCTGCCAGACCTTCTGTTGTTGTTCTGAAGTGGGCAGTACATTCCTTCAGCATATAGTGGGAGCTACTTTCTTAGTTATAAGTTTTAGGGTGCCATCCAATGAAGGAATTTTTCCCTCTAACAGTCCTACTAAAATGCATTAGGTTTTTAGGTGGCTTTGGAGGACTAGATTTTGATAAGTATCCCTTCCTATTATGGAATATCTGAAATTGGTAAAAAAACAACTTTCTCAAGACAGAAGTCCCATTTTATGCAAACTCCAACTGGGAGGAGCCAGATACATATTAAATACTGTAGCTGATAAGTTGGAATAGGAGCAGTAAGCTAGTAAAAGTGAATAATTAAAAAATCATTAAGAGGTAAGCAATAAGAACTGCAAATATTGCTGCTGAGACTAACTTAAAATTCAAGAATATTGATTTTGAAGTCATGCTTCTAAATAAGGATAAACAGTATGTCAACAAATCATTAATATTCTACATTCATATTTGTAACAAATTCCTTTAATTATACCACAAAATCATATATATATTTTTTTCTTTCTTTCTTTTTTTTTTTTTTTTTGGTGAGACAGGGTCTCGCTCTATTGCCAAGGCTGGAGTGCAGTAGCATGAACATGGCTCACTGCAGCCTTGACCTCCTGGGATCAAGAGATTGTCCCACTTAAGCCTTCCATGTAGCTGGGACCACAGGCACACGCCTCTGTGCCAGGCTAACTTTTTTTTTATTTTTTGTAGAGATGGGGGTCTTACTTTGTTGCCCAGGCTAGTCTTGGAACTCCAAGCAATCCTCCCGCCTTGGCCTCCCAAAGTGCTGGGATTACAGGTGCGAGCCATGTGACATTTCCCCATTCTACTAGTTTATAACTTACATATGTTTTGACACATATTAGCTTATCAATAGCAATAAAAAGTACTTTAAAAGGAGACTGATTTTCAAGATTTTCTGACATTAAAAAAAACAAAGGAACACAAAACAGGCATCTAATGTTACCCATGCTGCTGAAAATCCAGTTCTCAGAAAATAGGCAGCCTTGTGTGATGTTTAACTTCAGAGGCTCAAAAATGAGTATATATGTATGTGTATGATATGTGAGTGTGAAAATCTGGAACCAATCCTATCTTACAGAATACAAGCCTTCAGCATTTGGGGCGCATAATTATTTTGATGATAGGTAAGTTTTAGCCTTCATCACATGGTTTACAGCTAAAAATCTGCTTCGTAGAAGAACATTTCACAGCATGCAATGAACCTTAAAAATCATGCCATAAACATGCAAACACATGGTATAAGTTTAAAATATCAGGTTCAAAAAGAATTTCATTTCTTTAAAAGATAATTTGGATAAAAAATAATGTAAGATGGTAAACACAGAATTTTTGATGTGTATGGCTGTAGAATGAACATCCCTTCTAAAAAATTATTTTTTTTTTAAAAGATGGACTGAGTTCTTAAAAATTCTCTTTGTGGGTTAATCTAAAATTGTTTCCTTTATTTATTACTGAAATTACAGCCATTCTTAAAACTACCTCCCCACCAAGTTTGGGAATAAAGTTTAAATTTGGACCTGTATAAATTACAGTTTCACCTTCTTTCTACCATTGAAGGCTGGTTCTAAATTACAATAAACAACTTTTCTAGACCAGAACTCTTGCTATTCAGATTTCCTATGCACTATTTCAAGGCAAAAACTGTGGTGCCAATTATTACACATCTGGAAAAAAATCCAAGTTTAAGCTAAAAATGATCTTTGTAGAAAGCTTCTGCTTTTTGCACAAGGTCACAAGAACATTGTATGGACTAATACTTAGCCAATACTTTACTGCCAAAGACAGCAAAGAAAATTCTGAAAAGTCAGTCTTTACCTTCCTTTCAGAAAGATCCTCTTCCCAAAGATTTCATTAAAGACATTTAGGACAACAATCTTTAGGGTTTACTACAAAAAAGATGAGCACGATTTTACCATTGAAGTTGATCGACTGCTTGCAACAAGGCTTGATCCTCCATAGTTTGAATTGAGGCTTCCAATTGGTGCATTATGGGATGGTCCCAACAAACTGTGTATATCACTGTGACCAGTAGGCAAACTGGTGGAAGGTCCCACAGCATGGTTCCGCAGCACATGGATTGCATCATCCAGTCTGTCTAAACGATCCTCCATTCGAGACTGCTGTATGAATTAAAAAAAACATGGAGGTTATTGCTGGCATCTGTTAGATTCATTAACTGCTATGTTTCCTACTATGTGATATGTGGAAGATAGCAAGTGAAATGCAGTATCAAGTAGCTTCAAAAGCAACCAACTGAACTATAAATCAACAGCAAAAAAAGCCTATCTGTCTGTAGATTATGCTAAATTTTCAAAGCTTCAGAAACAAATCACTGCTTTATAAAATGAATTTACCAAACTACCATGAGGTTATTTCTTTTAGCCTCTACAAAAGATGAAGGATACTATGTCATTTCTCAATAAGAGTTGCTAAAAAAAAAAAAAAAAAAAAAAGTACAACCTATATTTTAATACTGATCTTTGAATGATGGCAATTTGGGGAAGGGACCTCAAATCCAGTAAGCTTAAGTTTTAATTTTGTCTTAAGTATATAAAGCACATGTATCTTATATGGTGAACACATCCAGATATGTTCTTTGACAAAACTAAATAAATGGTATTGTCTGTGTGTGGATACACACATGCCCCATACACAAACATATTAGAATTAAAAAAATCAAAAGCACATGCCAGTAGAGCTGTTTTAAGAAGGATCACTTTCAACAACATAAGAGATAAAAGTATTCCTATATACTATGATAAAAACTGAAATAGTCAATTGTTTGATTTTTAAAGACTGGAGTCTGTACAACTTAAAGATTTTAAATGAATAATGGGAAGTATAATTAATTGAAACACAAAAAAGGCACCATCTAAAACAAATAGTACCTCACAGACATCCTTTAAGAAGGACATTGCATCTTGCAAATGCTCGTGAAGTTGCTGCTCAACTCGATTTTTCTGGCAAAGTCAAGACAGAACAGGAGGCAAAGCACAGGTTAAGATTAACTCCAAAAGAGATGAGGAAATAGCTGATATGCATGTCAGCATAACATGTTAGTAAAGTTAACGCCAAGACGTGCGAGATCTATTTTATTAAGATATGAAAAGGCTGGGGTTCAACAGGGAAGTTACGAGGTTAGCATCTAAACAGCACACATTGCTTATAATTGCTTGCAAAATACATGAGAAGCAAATGTTCCTTCAATTTAAAATGTTCTGTTAGTCACAGAAAAAGAATGTTTCTCTTTGCAACCTGGAATTACGAATGAGAGCATGACTTAGCATTCCATCAAATCATCCTTATTTTGTTTTTATTATACCGTGTAATTCTGGGTTACAAATACAAGTATACAAAAGCAACAGTAGTCAACATTCTCCCACAAATTCTTCACGCTCAAGTATCTAGAAGGTTCCTTTACTGCCTTGTTAAATGTTTTGCTTGTATGATTTGCACAATACACTTTTTTTTTTCCACAAGAAAACATGGCAAATAACACTTTCATGACAAAAAACACTGGTATTCACTTAAAATTTTTAATGGAAATGTAATAAACCACACACAAGTATTATGAGAAAGGGTAAAATACAAAAGGGTAAAAATTTTGCATTGCTAGATTAAATTCTCTTGCTTTTACTTGTCTTTTTAAAAAAAGTTTCCCTTTATATGTAGACATAGAAGTATAGAATGATTAAGCCCTAGATTTGTCAAAGAAACAAAAATCCTCCTAACAAAATTTTAACATCAGCTGTCCTGACACCAGAAGCCTGATGTCCCAAAGAACAGATGGCAAAAGGCATACCCAATGTGTCTTATATTGTTCAACTGAATCAGCCATTTGTTAGCAAAGAATTCGTGTGCAATGCTAGCCTACTGTTTCTTTACTGTTATGCCAGATTTACTAAAAACAAACTCTAAGCTATCAGATAAAATTGATGTATAAGAGGCTCTTACCAGGGAGTGGAGTGAGTTTTCATAGCTTGGGGATGAAGGTGCTTGCCCTCCAGGTCTGGGCCACTGACTGGTACCTGTTAAAACCCAAAAGTACCCACACACCTGGGTTAACTCAGTGATCTTGATAATGTTGTGAAGGAAAGGGTAAAGATACTGAATAACTAAATAAATTTACATGAATATTTTTGTTCGGCCTTCAGCACAGTATTGGCTACTTATAAGCCCAATACATTTTTAAAAAACTTTCATTATTAATAAAAAAAAATGTAGGGAGCTGAGAAAACAGAAAAAAAAAACACCCTGTAATTTAAAATACAGCTACCTTTATGTTTGCACATTCTTTAGACTTATTCCACATGCCTATGTATCTTGAGAAAATGCACTTACAATATACACACTCTTAAAATTCTGTCCCCCTTCCTCTAGCATTGTACAGAAATTTTGGTAATACTATTAATCTCTACATTAATATTCCCCTTATTCTCTACACTTACTTATTTTTTTTGTTTGTTTGTTGTTTTTTGTTTTTTTGAGATGGAGTCTCACTGTCGCTCAGGCTGGAGTGCAGCGGCACGATCTTGGCTCACTGCAACCTCTACCTCCTGAGTTCAAGTGAGTCTCCTGCCTCTGCCTCCTGAGTAGCTGGGATTACAAGCGTGTGCCACCATGTTGGCTAATTTTTTTTTTTTTTGAGACGGAGTCTCGCTCTGTCGTCCAGGCCGGAGTGCAGTGGCTAGATCTCGGCTCACTGCAAGCTCCGCCTCCCGGGTTTACGCCATTCTCCTGCCTCAGCCTCCCGAGTAGCTGGGACTACAGGCGCCCACGACCTCACCCAGCCAGGTTTTTTTTTGTGTTTTTTAGTAGAGACGGGGTTTCACCGTGTTAGCCAGGATGGTCTCGATCTCCTGACCTCGTTATCCGCCCGTCTCGGCCTCCCAAAGTGCTGGGATTATAGGCTTGAGCCACCGCGCCTGGCCTTTTTCTTTTTTTTTGAGATGGCATCTCGCTCTGTTGCCTGGGCTATAGTGCACTGGTGCCATCTTGACTCACTGCAACCTCTACCATCCAGGTTCAAGCGATTCTCCTGCCTCAGCCTCCCAAGTAGCTGGGATTACAGGCACACACCACCACACCAAGCTAATTTTTGTATTTTCAGTAGAGATGAGGTTTCACCATGTTGGCCAGGCTGGTCTCAAACTCCTGACCTTAAGTGATCCGCCCGCCTCAGCCTCACAAAGTGGTGGAATTACTGGCGCGAGCCATTGTGCCTGGCTTCTATACCTAATCTGCTTAGCCACTATTGTTTCACTGCTAGACATTTTGGTTGTTATCACTTGGCTATTATGAACAGTGATATAAGTAAACATTACTCTGAGTTTTTTTCCCCCAGGGGAAAGGATGTTTTGAGGATAGGTATCATTTCTGAATCAAAGGGTATACATAAATTAACGTAAGGACAAACTGCCTTACCAAGGGGTAATATTAACTGACTGTGCCTTTAGCAATACACAGATGAATACATTTCCCATGATTCTAAATGATCTTGGGGTCATCTGTTTAAAAATTTCCCTAAATAGTTTATACCAAATACATTAACTAGGAAAATATTATAAAAACTTCTGTAAGATGTTGTTTATCCTGTCATGTTAGAAAAGTAGAAATCTAATTTAAAAAATAAAGATAGAAAAAGAAAAGATACAAGTTCAGAGTATAAAAAGAAAAGCATAAAAAAAATTCATCCATATGTTAGACAGAAGGCAATGTTTTAATGGTCTTGTGAAAACACCTTTAAAAGCAAAAGACAAAAACAACTGATCAAAATCTTCATTATTTCATGACTGTGCATCTGAAAATAAGTCATTTACAGAATAAAGACTATTTAATTAAACATATTGAGGAATCAGATGTGCACACTAAATTACTCGGGTAATAAATCATCTAGATAATTTTTGGTGCTATTAAAAAACTGTACAAAGGTCTGTCTTCAATGTGTAACTCATTAAACTGGGAAAAAATTTAGATACACTTAAACTTACTTTGCTTTTATTACAGGCTGGCCTGTTCTAGTGTAACGCACTTTGTTAAAGCATGCTGAAGTCAGGTAACTGACTTAACATCAGGCAGTCTGACAAGTAATAAAAATAAGTAGCTCATCAATTAGTAGAATTGATTAGAATTTCTCTTTCTCTCATTTTTATTTTTTTCTGCGAATGCTCTGAAGATTACTATTGAGTACTACAATTATTGAACTTTTATTCACTTATATTCCAGAAGGAGGTAATGAAAGGCAAAGGAAGACTTTGCTTGTTTGCCTTCCAAGCTCCCTTAGTAAACTTATTCTCTTACTGCAAATGCTCATATTTTCCTAAATAACTGTAGTAAACAAAGCCATTCCTCTCTTCTATCTTGTGGCGAGAGCACTGATTTTGTTCACAAGGGGTGTGGGAGATGGGTCTGTCCTTTCCTAATAGGAACCAGGAGAGAGCAATTCTGTTCTTAGCCCTAGGGATAAATCCGGATGCTAAGATAAACATGGTGGCACCATTTCTGTTGCAAGTAACTGCATTAGGCCCAGTGCTGGCCAATAAGACATAAGGGGAAATCTGTTTAAGAGGCTTCTGGAAAAGGATCCTTAAAATAATTTTTAAAAGACTCTTAAAAGAAATAGATGGGATACTGAACTTGAGTTGGAAGAGGTGAGTCCAGTCATCTGGTCTCAAAATGAAGGTAAAACTGCTGCCTGGTGGCCCCCAGCCCTCCGACCGTTGCCACCACTGTAGGGGTGGGTGGTGGGGGAAGATGGCCATGATTCAAAGGAACCAGAGCTTTTGAGAAAACTTTTTATGGTGGCCTGAGCTTTGAAACTACAGATGAAAGTTTAAGAGACATTTTGAGAAACGGGGCATACTCACAGATTGTGTGGTAATGAGACCCCAAACAAAATGTTCCAGGGGCTTTGGTTTTGTGACTTATTCTTGTGTCGAAGAGGTGGAGGCAGCAAGGTGTGCTAGACCACACAAGGCTGATAGGTGTGTAGTGGAACCAAAGAGAGTTGCTTCTACAGAGGATTCTGTGAAGCCTGGTGCCCATCTAACAGTGAAGAAAACTTTTGTTGGTCGTATTAAAGAAGAAACAGAAGAATATAATTTCAGAGACTACTTTGAGAAGTATGGCAAGATTGAAACCGCAGACGTTATGGAAGACAGGCAGAGTGGAAAAAAGAGAGGATTTGCTTTATTAACGTTTGATGATCATGATACAGTTGATAAAACTGTTGTTCAGAAATACCACCACACGGGCCGGGCGCGGTGCCTCAAGCCTGTAATCCCAGCACTTTCGGAGGCTCAGGCGGGGGGATCACGAGGTCAGGAGATCGAGACCATCCTGGCTAACACGGTGAAACCCCGTCTCTACCAAAAAATACAAAAAAACTAGCCGGGCGAGGTGGCGGGCGCCTGTAGTCCCAGCTACTCGGGAGGCTGAGGCAGGAGAATGGTGTAAACCCGGGAGGCAGAGCTTGCAGTGAGCCGAGATCCGGCCACTGTACTCCAGCCTGGACGACAGAGTGAGACTCTGTCTCCAAAAAAAAAAAAAAAAAAAAAAAAAAGAAATACCACCACAGTATTAATGGGCATAACTCTGAAGTAAAAAAGGTCCTTTCTAAATAAGAGATGAAGTCTGCTGGATGAAAAAGAGGTCATAGAGGTAGATCTGGCAATTTTATTATGGAGGAAACTCTGGAGGTGGTGGAGGTAATTTTGGCTGTGGTGGAAACTTTGGTGGAAGAGAAGGCTATGGTGGTGAAGGTGGTGGCAGCAGAGGTAGTTATGGAGGAGGTGATGGTGGATATAATGGATTTGGAGGTGATGGTGGCAACTATGTTGGTAGTCCTGGTTATAGTAGTAGAGGGGGCTATGATGGTGATGGGCCAAGGATATGGTGGTGGTGGTGGTGGAGTGACGGAGGAAACTTTGATGGTGGTAACTATGGTGGTGGTGGGAACTATAATGATTTTGGGAATTACAGTGAACAACAGCAGTCAAACTATGAACCCATGAAAGGGGACAGTTTTGGTGGAAGAAGCTCAGGCATTCCCTGTGGTGGTGAAAGTGGTGGATATGGTAGCAGAAGGTTCTAAAAACAGCAGAAAAGGGCTACAGTTCTTAGCAGGAGAGAGAACCAGGAGTTGTCAGGAAAGCTGTAGGTTACGTTGAGACAGTTGTCCCAAATGCATTAGAGGAACTGTAAAAATCTGCCACAGAAGGAACAATGATCCATAGTCAGAAAAGTTACTGCAGCTTAAACAGGAAACCCTTCTTGTTCGGGACTGTCATAGCCAGTTTGCAAAAAGTGTAGCTACTGACTAATGCAATGTAGTGACAATAAGATGTATATTCCTGAGGTCTTTTATCTGTTGTAGTTTTGCCTTTTTCTTTTCACTACATCAGTCATATTGCCCTGTAAATTGTGGTAGTGGCACCGGGAATAAAAAATTAGGGAATTTTTAACTAAAAAAAAAAAAAAGAGAGAGATGGTCCTTTTTTCATCTATTGGAGATTGTTACGTCTGCATGTAGTACCTTGAACCGCTGTCTTTCTACCAGCCTGAGGAAGAACTGCAAAGTAGAGCATGAGCCCTGACATAGGGGGCCAGGGCCTCACCACACAAGATAATAAATCCTCTTACTATTCAGTCTAGCTGAGACAAGAGTTTCTTTTCATTTTAGCCTAAAGCATCCTAACTGATACAATATCTCAGAACTTTCCTCCTAAGCATTCTCTGTGTAGAAATGTACGCTCTTGACCTGAAAAGTTTCCAAGGAAAACATTGGGGATTTAAAGAATGATAGCCTTAGAAGCTGCTTATGTGGCTCTGCACATGTGTATCTATCTTTAAAAGACTTGTGCTAAGTCTAACTGATGCTCAAAAGCATAAGGAACAGGGCAAGTGTGGAGAATTCCACCCACACAGTGGGTATAATTTTTTATTCTAGGTAACAGGCCATTGCCACACAAGATGCAAAATAATGTCCACATATTTATATAGGAGCTCTGGTTTGCTCTTATTCTTTTCCTTCTTCCTTTGACAGTGAATATTTTATCACACAGTGCTTTCCTTTCTTCTTTCCATCTCATCTCTGCCCTGCTATGGGTGGGCAGGGGTGCATGTGTGTTTAGGTAAGAACCATAGATACAGGAGACAGGAGAGATGGACCTGCCTACAATCAGTCTTTGATTTGCTGTTTCAACACAAGTATGTGAAAGTACTTTTCTTTGATTATGACTGCTGAATTGAAAAAGAAGCCTTCATTACATAATTCAACAGTCCAGATTTTCATTAACAACCTTAATTAAAGAGAAAAAGAGAGCATCACCCATTAAATATCAAATAAAGATGAAGGAGGAAATGTGAGATTTTACTTGTGACCACTAGGTTTTTGGAAAATGTCTAAATCTTGGATTCTGCACTTGACTGATGACCCTTCATAGATGCTGAGCTCTGCCATGGCCTGCCTTCCTACTCAGTGTTCATTAAAACCAAAGGATACTTTGGCAGCTATCTTACTAGACAGACAAGGAGAGGTAGTGGGAATGCTGATACGGATACCTCAGATGAGAAAGTGAAACAAGCTGTGACAAAAATGACATTGATAATTTTAGTAAAACTGTGCAAAGAGGGTGAGTAGGGTTAGAGTTGCATCCTTCTTCCTGTAATTTTAGCTCTGCTAAACAACAACTTTAAGTCAATGGGTCTTTCATAGTCTTGTCTATGTGGGGAACAGCTGTTTAACTTTTACTAGACAGCTGAAGCCCTGGTGTCTGGGAGAGTGGCAGAACCTGCTCATAGCTGAAAGCAGCTGCCAGCAGTTCATCATCCCCAAACCAGAATGCTTCTTAGTAGAGCCACAAGGCTAATACACAAAGCATAGGTGATGGCCCATGCAAAAAGGCTTAACAACAACAAAACTGCATGGACTTAACTAATGGCTTGATTAGGAAAACAGAATTGTTCCCTCAACTGTTGTTGGAGGAATATGATAACTTTATCCAGTTGCCTAATGCCTTTTCCTCAAAACAATCTAATACATTTTTTCTTCAGCAAGGCTTTTCTCCAAACACTGCTCAGAAAAATATAGTTCAAGTTTTAAAATTATAGCTTAAAAGATATTAAACATTTTTATATATTTATTCCTAAGAAATAAAAAAAATCTTGTTTACAATAACATCAATCATGTCTCAACAAATTTATACTATAGGATAGTATTTAGAACTTGTCTAAACTAATGTGAAAAATATTAAGGAAAAAAAAAATGTGGGCCGGGCGCAGTAGGTCACGCCTGTAATCCTAGCATTTTGGGAGAAGGATGAAGCAGGTGGATCACTTGAGGTCAGGAGTTTGAGACATGCCTGCCCAACATGGTGAACTCCATGTGAATGGAGTTCATCTCTACAAAAAAAAACAAAAACTAGCCGGGTGTGGTGGTGGGTGCCTATAATCCCAGCTACTTGGGAAGCTGAGGCAGGAAATCCCTTGACCCCAGGAGGCTGAGGTGGCAGTAAGCCGAGATTACGCCACCGCACTTCAGCCTGGGCAACAGAGTGAGATTCGGTCTCAAACAGAACAAAACAAAACAAAAACAAATGTAAACCACTTATCTTCACTAACAATATTCATCCACCTTCACAGAGAGTTCTTTCCTTAGCAGAAAAACCACATCATTCCCAAGAATTTTATCTATGTGAAATAACTTAGTTGACCTAAAAATAAAAACAGACTATCTAGCAGAAGTAGTTATTCATCTTTGAATCTTACCTGCTGTACATGGTAAGTGTGGAGAACAAGGAAGAAGTTACATGTATTTTAAAATAAACTAATCTTATTTATTTTACATGCTATCTTATAAAAACAATTTTTTTGGGGGGTGGGTATGGTGGCTGACACCTGTAATCCCAGCATCTTGGGGGGCCAAGGTGGGAGGATGCTCGAGCTCAGGAGTTCAAGACTAGGCTGGCCAACATAATGAGACCCAGTCTCTACATAAAGTAAAAAGATTAGCTTGGCATGGTGGCATACACCTGTAGTCCCAGTTACTCAGGAGGCTGAGGTGGAAGGATCATTTGAGCCCAGGAGTTGGAGGTTGCATTGGGCTGAGACCATACCACTACACTCCAGCCAGGGCAACAGAGTAAGACCCTGTCTCTAAAAAAATTACTTTAGAAAAATTTTTGATTTCATTCTTTCTCCATATTTTATCTTAATTCCAATTGCCTTGTCTTATTTTTATCCTGCTGTAACTACTGTTCTTAGAAATGATCACAAATTACATTAAGAATCAGGGAAGATATTAATAAATAATTCAAAATTAGCAAATATTTTAATATTCTCCAAAATGAATTTAAGAGGAAGGCTCTCTTTACATGCTTTCTTATAGTCAAATCTAAATGATTTTTCACAAATTTTTATTAAAGTTTGTTGAGAAATAAACTAGAAATATTTCTAAGTAGCCCCACACGTTAGAAGTTGTTAGATAAAACACAAGCCTACCTGTGAGAGGTGAAGGTGATCCAACTGGTGTTGATGGATTTGATGGAAAACTACTGCTGGTATGGTCAGGAGAATAAATCTAACCAGAAAACAAGAAATATACATGTATCAATAAGTGACAACAGCACATACACAAATCCATTCACATGGAGTTATTTTTATAATCTAGTTGTCACCCTTAAGACTTCAGAGTGAAAAAATTTCTCATCAAGTTTTAGACTGTTTCATCATACAGAAGCCGCAGTTTAAAAAACAGATTAAAAAGTATATATATTCTAATATGAGAGGAATAAAATAGATCATAAGTATTTATTTTTCTAGGTGAAAATAACGAAGTATTTGTTAGAACAGAAAAATAAGAAGTACCCACAAAGTTAACAAATCTGACAATCTTTCTAGAATATGTTATCTAAGTAAGTGGTATCTTTAAAAATAGTCACCTCAGAAAACTATTAATACTATCTTTTAGAATGGTCTTTAAGGACAGTTTAAAAGCTGAACAAAGAAAATAATCTTTTTAATGGTTACCCCTTATCTCTCATTTAAAAAGTTACTCAGTTTGATCAACCACATTTTCGCCAATTTTAGCTCCAAATGACTGAGTGTTGTAAAACATTAAACTTATTCTCAGAAGATACCTTGTCACCCTTGAAGAAAGTGAAAAAATCCTGATATGCTTCCAAAAATTGTTTCCAAGATGATTTGTGGACTTCAAATCCCAACAGGTCAACTTTGAAGAGGATAAATTATCAGGATGCATAAATTTAGGTATTCTAGCTTAAAGTTTTGTTGCAATACTTTATATTTCATATTGTCAAAAATAAATGGTGACAGACATTAATTCAAGTTTATCTAATTCAACAGTGAACACTTTTTTTGAGATGAAGTCTCACTCTGTCACCCAGGCTGGAATGCAGTGGCGCAATCTTGGCTTAATGCAACCTCCGCCCTGCCCCAGGTTTAAGCGATTCTCTTGTCTCAGCTTCCCTAGTAGCTCAGACTACGAGTGCGCACCACCACGCCTAGCTAACTTTTTTTTAGTAGAGATGGGTTTTCGTCATGTTGCTCAGGTTGGTCTTCAACTCCTGACCTCAGGTGATCCACCCACTTTGGCTTCCCAAAGTGCTGGGATTATAGGCGTGAGCCATGGCGCTGGGCAACAATAGTAAACACTTTAAAAGTCCCCTAAATTCAGGCACCAAAGGCCCATCCCTAAGATCTCTTCTTGGACAATCCTATTCTTTTAATAGGCATAATGATCATTTTCATTATCTCGGCACTTAGGGCAGAGAAAACAACTTATATGGATAAATTGTGGTCAAATATTTTATAAAGGAAAACTACTTGCGAGTGCAAAAAGTCATCTGAGTGCAAAAAGTCATCCAGTAGAAATGACCTTGCTTTGAATAAACTTAGACCTCTAATGAATTTAAAGAGACCCAATTTACAGCATACAAGGAATTTCAACATTGTTTTTAAAGAAAGCATAATAATGTTCTTTCAATATTTGATAAAGTCAGATATTGGGACAGGTTCATATACAACAAAACTCTACAAGTCACAATTGACAAATTTCATTTTTTTTTTTTTTTTTTCTGAGATGGAGTCTCACCCAGGTTGGAGTGCAGTGTTGCAACCTCCACCTACCAGGTTCAAGTGATTTTCCCCACTCAGCCTCCCAGTAGCTGGGACTACAGTACAGGTGTGTACCACCACGCCCGGCTACATTTTGTATTTTTAGTAGAGATGAGATTTTGCCATGCTGGACAGGCTGGTCTTGAACTCCTGACCTCAGGGGATCCACCCACCTCAGTCTTCCAAAGTGCTGGGATTACAGGTGTGAATCACCACAGCTGGCCAAATTTCATTTTTTAAAAAGGTAACAGGCTTTCAAATTGTAAGCAGCCCAAAGTCTACCTTCCTTTGACTACAAATGAATATATCCACTTCAAATAAAATATGCCAGTTTGTATGATGTTAGTAACTTATAATTGTAAATGCCTTTATACATCAACTATCTCAAATAGTCAGGATCTAGACACTGTAATACTCTCTTTAAAAAGCTATTTTGGAAAAGTAAAGCTATGGAAAAGAGTTCAAAACACTTTGGGAGGATCTAGTAACAGAGAGATAGTATAAGATCAATATTAGGCTGGGCACGGTGGCTCACGCCTATAATCCCAGCACTTTGGGAGGCTGAGGTGGGCGGATCACCTGAGATCAGGAGTTTGAGACCAGCCTGGCCAATATGGTGAAACTCTATCTCTACTAAACATATAAAGATTAGTTGGGTGTGGTGGGCAACTATAATCCCAGCTACTCGTGGGGTCTGAGGCAGGAGAATCGCTTGAATCCGGGAGGCGGAGGTTGCAGTGAGCTGAGATCGAGCCACTGCACTCCAGCTTGGGTGACAGAGTAAGACACCGTATGAAAAAAGAAAAAACAAATCAGTATTATTGGTTTTTAAGTTGTTACCTTTTAAAACATTCATGCGACATGTGGTAAATTAGCTTAGAAAGGTACACTTTTGTTCTTAGTGGCTTTGCACACATACATTGATTTATTTCAACCACATAAGTAAATTAGGGAAGGTCATCACACTTCAACAAAAACAAAACATGTTTCAACGTACCTTTCCCTTTTCTTTCTTTTTTTTTGAGACAGGGTCTTACTCTGTCACCCAGGTTGGAGTGCAGTGGTGTAATCATGGCTCACTGCAGCCTCAACTTCCTGGGCTCAAGCAATCCTTCCACCTTGACTTCCCAAGGAGCTGGGACTACAAGCCCCCACCACCACACCCAACATTTCTGTATTTTTTATAGAGATAGGGTTCCGCTATGTTGCCCAGGCTGGTCTTAAACTCGTTGAACAAAGAAGCGATCTGCCTGCTTTGGCCTCCCAAAGTGCTGGGATTACAAGTGTGAGCCATCGCACCTGGCCCTCAACATACCTCTTTACCACTGTAAACCACCATTTCTTATGTTCAAAATTCAAATAATTACACCATTTATGAGCAACTGATGCTCATCTTTGTGAAATATGTCTTGACTACAATTTTGGCAATGGAAGGAAAGGTTGATAACACTGATGGTGGATGGATGAGTGAGAAATTTTCAGTTCTATGCAAAACTGTGATTATTATAAACTAGCCCAACTCAGGAAGCAGCATTTTCTGTCAGATGCTCCTGCTTACACTGTATTTCTAATCATCTACATTTGTTTGTTACCTGTTTTTTTCCTTTCCCATGGTAAAATATAAGCCCCAGAAGAACAAGGAATTTGTCTTATTAATGTAGCCTCAGATTCCACAAGAGTGCAGATAAATGGTGAGGGCTCAATGTATAGGTATACAGCTGTCATTAAGAATGAAAAGCATAATCCTTGCTAGGAATTTCCATTTAAGTGCTTCTTTTCAGTCCTTGTATTTGATAAGGTCCCTAGGGTCCACCTATTTCACTCTTCCATTTCCCTTAATGTATGATTCCCCAGAGTTCTAGTCTCAGTTTTCTTTCATTTACCTGTGCTTTATCTCTTGGTAATAGTAATCTTTGTCAAATATCAACTAACACATCCAGGTGAATGACTCCTAAATTGATACCTCTTGTCACACTGGTTGCTAGACTTTTCTATCTGGACATGCTCTTTTTTCATCTCAAGCTCAGTTATGTCCAAACCTAAATTTTATATTACTACCCTAAGCTTCCCATCCTTCCCATCTCTTTTCTTCTACTTAGGTTAGCAGCACCATGCTTATGGTTACCATAAGTACTCTCTCCTCTTTTCCTCTACCACTCTACTCTTCCCTCTGGAGACACCAATATCCACAATTCTCTAACGTTTCTGGGACAGGCACATGTCATAATCACTGCCATGACACCACTTTCAATTTTTACTCAAACTTGTGGCTGGACTACTTAAGTGTTTATATTTCTAGTTACTTCCCTCTCTTTCCATCCTATAAATAATTGCCCTGAACTACTCAAATGTACTCAAAAAAAATTTTTTTTTTTTTTTTTGACACAGAGTCTTGTTCTGTCCCCCAGGCTGGAGTGCAGTAGCATGATCTCGGCTCACTGCAACCTCCGTCTCCCAGGTTCAAGTGATTCTATTGCCTCAGTCTTCCAAGTAGCTGGGATTACACAGGCGTGTGCCACCACCCCCAGCTAATTTCTGTGTTTTTTTTTTACTCTTGTTTTGTTTTTTTTTTTTTGAGACAGAGTTTCACTCTTGTTGCCCAGGCTGGAATGCAATGGTGCAATCTCAGCTCACCGCAACCTCTGCCTCCTGGGTTCAAGCTATTCTCCTGCCTCAGCCTCCCGAGTAGCTGGGATTACAGGCATGCACCACCATGCCAGGATAATTTTGTATTTTTAGTAGAGACAGGGTTTCTCCATGTTGCTCAGGCTGGTCTCGAACTCCCAACCTCAGGTGATTCCACTGCCTCAGCCTCCCAGCCCTTATAATCTACTTTTAACCTACATACCCTATTATGCAAACAAAATATTTTTTCATTTGCTAAACACAGCTTGTCATCCTTTCAGAATGCTTGTTTCTTAACCTCTCCCAGATGGAATTCTACTTATCAAAGTTCAGTTCCAATGTCACTTCCCCATTTAAACATTTTCACCTTCCTTATACTCTTAGAAAATAGTATGAACTTCTCTTTGCTCTTTTACTTCACACTGTGTTATACATTATCATTATTTGTGTATCTGTCTTCTCTCCTTGACTACAAGCTCTTTGAAGACAGGAAACTTATATTGGTCAACATTGAATCCATTATTGTATGCCAGTATCTTGTACAAGCAGGTGCCCAATGTATGTATTTTTAACTTGAGCGATTAAACTACAACTGAAATTTCCTATAATACTAACTGATAAAAAGCAGGACTCAATAAATGGTAGTATTTATCTTGGTATTTATACAATGTTGGTCAGCAACAGAAATACTAAGGGCAAAAGAGCTTGTTATAAATATGACTTAATTTCAAATCAGTTTTATGGCATAAGCTTTGAGAATAATCATATGGTGAGGTTTCACTATTTCTGGGAATTAGTGTTGATGTACTAAGCTGTCCATATCACACTGTTAGGTAGGCATGGGCTTTTGAGGGTAGAAATGGACTACCAATCCTGATTTTCCTTGAGAACTCTGTCCTTACACTTAAAACAATCCCTAACCATGTCAACAACTGGTGAAAGTTCCTTTATATCAAGGAAAGAAAGTAATAGTTTAGAGTCATATAAGAGCACTATCTTTAAATGACTTAGTGAAATGCCCCAATGCTGTATGTAAAACTGGTGTAAACTTAAAAAAAAAAAATCACTGTCTAAACAGGAGAAGCAGCACCAAAAACATATCAAGTATAAAAATAAGTCATTTCTGATATTTTTTCCAAAAGCAGCTTCTCTATTTGTACAATAAAAGCCAACTTTTCCACTCATCCATCACAGTCACTGGTTCTACTTTACCAGTTAAAGTGATGACAGACAGAATTGTTATCAATACTTTTCCTAAATTTACAGATAGCCCTGTAAGTTACAGGCCTTTTTAAAAAATCACTTTTACTTTCATAAAAAGAATGTCTATGGTGGGAGAGGGGCAGCAATACATTTGAAAAGTATGATAACACAGCCTATTGGATCACAGGTCATTTCACTAAGCTTTATATCTGAGTGTTTATTTTATTACCAAATCACAAACAAATCATACTTATTCTATAGAAATTGTGCTACTTTAAGTTCTAAACACAGGCTTTATTTGGCAGAGTATTCTAAATCAGGAATACATTTCTTTTCATACTTCCTGGCCTTAAAAGAACTCCTACACTGATGTTTGAAGGTAAGAATAAAAAGAAGAAAAAAAATCAGTTACTTAAAAAAATAGGGGTAAAGAGTGATTTAGAGTCTAGAGTCTAAACAAAGTAAGCACTCATTCTGCATGCAGTCCATGGTCCTCATACTGTTAAATGACCAATAATGAGTAACTCCCAATACCTTCTGCCAGGCTTAAACGGTAATATGCCTCATTTTACTCCAACAAATGAGACTCCTCCTCCTATCAGTCATGGTCTATTCCAATCAGCAGGGTGCCAATAAGCCAGAGGCTAATGAAAAGGGCTTTAGACAAAAAAGAAACAATGGACTGCTACCAAGCCGAACCCCGGAACTGTGAGCCCAATTTTTTAAACACTACAGTGCACATTTCAGTTAATCTTTATTATGCTAATGTTATTGAGTCTAAGGAACAAAGAAAGTTATTTCATGAATTACTTTTAAACATCAACTTCCCTGAATTTTCTTTTCTTTTGTTAGAGACTACTGACCATTTATCCAGATTAATACACACATACATACACACATACACACACACTCTCTCTCTCTCTCACTTTTTCCCTTGCTCTGAGGTAGAAATCAAAACATAAATTATCACAAAGAAGTCTGATATAATCAACAAAGTTAAACAGTCTTCTTGTTTGATCTCCTCTAAATTAAAGACCAAGTGTTTTGATATGGTATTAGGCACTGAAATAAACCAGATGTTTCTTCCTCTATATAACTCTCCACGGGCACAATCTTAAAGGGTTATTGTCTGGCAAACGTTCAGGGAAACACATTAGAAATGGCACGAATACCCAGATTTTCCTTTCCTTCTATCTACCCTAGTTTTTCTTTCTTTCTTTCTTTCTTTCTTTCTTTCTTTTTTTTTTTTTTATCTAAACTAATGCATAATCCACAGGGCTTTGGGAACTTTGTGTAAATACTTTCATGTACAATTCTCTTTCTTGCTATCCTGAGATTAAGACCACAATTATCCAGGCTTAAACCTAAAATAAAGGAACCTTTGCAAATGCATTATCTGGCCTTACATGTTTAATCACACAGTATTCTGTGTGCTCTTTAATACCTAAACTGAAGAACAAAGGTTGTACCCTCTGATGTTTCACAATATGAAAGATCTTTTAAGACATATATCAGACAATTGGGGAAATAGAATTACTTTTTAATGACAATAGCATAGTGTTCTCCATCTAAAACCAGATGCTAAAGCGTCACATTCTAAAGAACTTAAAATTTCAAAATAGTTAGAGTCACCATTTCAAAAGATCTATAATACCTGACATAAAATTATGATATGCATGTCAGACTCCCAAATGTAATCCTCATTAAGTTCCTTCTCCTCATCTCTTCTAATCCTTCCTATCCCCAGATAATATAATGTTTTTCTTTTTCAGTACATTTTGAGTGCACTAAACATATATTAAAGTGAATGTGCGTCTGTAATGAAAGTTGGAAAAATAATGTATTTGGGGAGGTGTCCGGCTGGGAAGTGGGGAAGCAGATGGATTAAAGGAAGGGATTTGAAATGTGCAGACTATGGCATGCAGTGATGGAGCAGATGGAATGCATCACCGTCAGCTATGACAGAAATGATTTATGGAATGACCTGGCTGCTCCTGCCTAGTAACAACACAGGATGACAGAGCTGAGTTTCCATGACAACCAAAGCCCACCCACTAACTAGATTAAACATTTCTTCACTGGATTCCATTCACAGTGAATTTGGGTTTTCTTTTCCAAATGCCATTTTGGTTTGGCTAGTATGCTGTTTATAATACGGGAAAATACTCAAGGATGTGAACGGTAACAAAATGAACTTGAAGGGCCACTGAGAACATCACGAATTCTTGCCTGCCTATATGCCAAGGTTCCCTGATAGAAGTTTTTCTTTAATAAAATAAACAAACGACCTTTGAGAAAAAAAGCCCCCAAAATGCAGCTTATATTTTAAAAAATTATTTAGCACTGAAAGTTCAAATGTTATTTGTCCTGCTACATGTGAAATATCAGTTACTAGATTCTTCCAGAATCAGGAGAAGGAATATGGCAAGCCAATCAAATACCTGGGGACATCTCAGATTTAGTATAGAATAAAATTTTCTTCCTAAATAGGTCATTTTCATCAGGTGACAGTAAGTTAAGAAAAGGGTGAGATAATTTTCTTTCATTCTCATCAATACCCTGTAAGAAAATTACCATAGCACTGCACTTTCTGGATGTATGGAGCAGTGGTTAGGAGCAGAGTCTGAAGCAGGTCTGATCAGTGTTCTAATATATATGGGCTTTATCCATGCTAGCTTATGAGTCCCCTAGGGCAAGCTGCTTAATCTTTCTGAGCTCAAGTTACTTAACCTTTTAAACCGTAGTTCCTCATCTGTAACGTGGGGATAACAATGCCAACCTTACAGGGCTTTCTTGGGGATTAAATGAAACAGGGCATGTAAATACTTAGTATAGGGCCTAGCACCTAGTAAGCATTCAAATTATAGCTGATAAATTTTGTGGGTTTTGTTATTATCATTACTATTATTATTATATGATCCAAGACAGAACTCAACAAACATTCACTGAGCTCCATTTTGTGTGTGCTTCATCTCTACTGTGTAGTAGATGAGTCTGACTTGGCTTCATTTTCCAAGAAGCTAGTATTCAGCTGTAGAGAAAAATTTATTTACAGAAACAATATACAAAGAGGTTTATCTCCTTAAATATTCAACAGTTGCTTCCTATTACTCAGGTATTAAAAGTGCTCTGCCTTCTCCATGAATGGCAACGAATGTATCTGCAACTTAATTGTACTTCATAGAAAATAAAAGACAATTCTGTGGGAATTATAAGAAGCATACTGCTCAGAAAACAAGAAGAAAAAAAATCATCTAAAGTGAAATTTTCGGAAGTGCAAAGCACAAGTGCCCCTTTTTAATAATTAGATTTGAATCTGTTGTAGATTTACTGAAAAATGCTCTCCCTTCTAGTTTTGGCATTCTGAAAGAAGAGATTTTAATGTTTTAAGAATCAGATATTAAAATATAATCACTGCTTTGTCATTAATGTTCTGATGTGATGTATGTGAACTAGTTGCTCAAGAAAATACTATCGGAGTCCTTCAAATCAGTTTTACTCCTTTTAGCATGATTCTTCAATGAATCTGGCTTTTTTGCGGAGAAGGCTCTCATTTCCTATCCCTTGAGTAAATTAGGTGCAGTTGACCTTTTGAAAAAAAAAAAAAAACTACCGTACATAAAATGCTTTTGATCTTGGAAAAGCTCCTTATAAAGGCACTTCATTCTCTGGATCAGAATACCGAGTTATCTTTCGTGGCTCCACTTGACTTATATTAATGGGCCACTTACTAACTATGTATTTAGAAGAAATAGATTTAATGATTATTCTTGGCAGTTTGTGCTTTAGATGGCTTCTTTTTCCTCTTCCCAGCATTTGCTGTACCATAGGCATAGCATTTAAGGGCACATATCAATACAAACCGAGAAAAACTCTAAATGTGTAATGAAATTGATTTTGTTACATCTACACTCTTTAGATACTTATCACCTACAAAATCTAATCACTGTATTCAGCAGTGTAAAATTCATTCAGTAGAATGTGTAAAATCAATACTTACAGATGCCAAAGCCTTTCCAAGTGCATCACCTGTCTGTGAGCTTCCAGCAGCATTCCCTCTGGTTCCTGGATATTTCATAGAGAAACAAATCAAGAATTTTACCAGCAAATATATTTTAGCACTCTTTCATTATTTCAAGGGTGTTCTCTATTGCCATCTCACATCCATTACAATAAACTAGGAAATACTCTGCATGTGTTGTACTTATTAATAAAGATGAGTTCTTTACCAGTCTCTATATTGATGAAAATAAAAAAGCTTCTTGTCTTCCTGTCTTTCACTTTTAAATTCAACACCAAAAAATATACTGAAAGAGGGGCCAAGGCCAGGCTCATGCCTGTAATCCCAGCACTTTGGGAGGCTGAGGCAGGCGGATCTCTTGAGCCTGGGAGTTCAAGGCCAGTCTGAGAAATGTGGAGAAACCCCACCTCTGCTAAAAATGGAAAATTAGCTGGGTGTGGTGGTGTGTGCCTGTAGTCCCCGCTACTTGGGAAGCTGAAGCTGGGGGATCACCTGAGTCTGGGGGCGGAGGTTGTAGTCACAGAGTGAGAGAGCTGAGAGAGTGAGACCCTGTCTCAACAACAACAACAACAACAACAACGCCACGTGTGGTGAGTCATGTCTATAATGCTAGCATTTTGGGAGGCCGAGGCAGAAGGATCACTAGAGGCCAAGAGTCTGAGACCAGCCCTGGCCATATAATAAGACTCCGTCTCAACAAAAAGTACAAAAAAATTAGCTGAGTATGGTGGTACATGCCTGTAGTCCCAGCTACTGGGGAGGCTGAGGCAGGAGGATCACCTCCTCAACCTTGGAGATTGAGGCTGCAGTGAGTCATGATTGTGCCAATGCACTCCAGCCTGGGTGACAAAGAGAGACTCTGTCTCAAACAAACAAACAAACAAACATACACACACACACACACACACACACACACAAATATATATACACCCATATATATAAAAAAATTATATACATATATAAATATATATACACACATATATATAAATAAAAAAATATATAAAAAGATATGGGGGTCACTGAAAATCCCCAAACTAAGTTTTAGGAAGTTTTGCCAACTCATAAAGCTCACCTAGAATGCTATCTGATCCATTGATGGGAGGAGTGTGGGAGGCAGCAACATAAGGTGAACTGCTGGTACTGCCGCGATGAAAGCTGGACATTGGTGGAAGACTCGTGTTTATGTCTGTTGGTGAAACTGAATGTGGAGGATAACTCTAGATGGAAAGAGATACGATCTATTAAATATATTTTCTGAATAATATTTACATATAATGGACAACTATAACAGGTCAAAAAGAGCATTTATAAGTTAGCAGCTAAAGAGTGCTACTTATAGTCATTTATTTTTTAAAATGGCATGGTAAATGCGGTAAGCCTTGAAGTACTTCAAACTTCAGAAGTTTTGGCAGAATCAGATTTTACACTTCTAATCCAAAATGAAACACAAGTGAGGACAAAGTGTTGCTGTACCCTAGTCATGTGTTATAGCCTACCAAGCGGTCATGTGAATGAAGGTTGCCATAACTACTGGATTGAGACATGTGGGAAGTGGAGGTCCCCAGAATTCCACCAAAACCAGGCTGGCTCATCCCATTTGATGAACTCCAAGGGTCAGAAGAATTGTGGGTCCCATCTAAGACAAAAAGAGAAATACAGAATTTTCCTTAGCTAAAATTTTTCTTGTATTTTGATGTTGCTTATAAAAATTCAAGGGGTACCCTCCAGATATTTTTCCTCCCTTTTCCAACCTAGTCTTCTACCCACTTTTCTTCCCTCTAAACTGTAAAATTACCATTTAAAGAGGAGAAATTAACATTTTAGTTAGAGAAAAAAGTAATCTAATCTGTAATAGGCAGGCCATTATAAAAATCTTCAGAAGATCTAAATTCGTATCAAGGAAGATAATAAAAATTCCAAATTTGGAAATAGGCTAGATTTATTTTTAGTTAAGTGGTATACTCATAAATACACAGAAAGTTATTAATCCACAACATGCAATGTGCATATCAAACATTTTGAAACTGTGGAATAAAGAAGTTTCTCTAAGAGTAAAACTAAGTAATTGATAATTACCACATTATAGTTAGCTTTCAAATGAAATGTGTTAGCAATGACTTCACTCAACAATATAAAGTCAAGGAACCATTTATGTAGTAATTTATTGCTCCCATATATTTGCTTCCCATAGTATAAAACCACAGGAGACCAAATAAAAATGATTTGCTAGACATGAAGTAAAGGAAATGCAACACTTATTCTCTCTTAACAAGTCTTACTCTGTTCTATGATATTCACTCTTTCTTTATATTGGTAATTCTAGGCATGATATGAATCCATAAATGAAGCAAGAAACTAGAGTTAACAACTTTCATATACTTAAATTCTAAAATGAGCAAGAACAGCTCTATTTTTTTCAATTTAAGATCTTTATAAATTCAATCAATACTGGAACAGCACTCCAACGGTTTGCTACATAATTCAATTAAATTGCAGTCAGTAATAAACAGCACTGGAAAATTATAAAGCTAAATTTTAATTTCCTTTAGCCAAAAAAATACCTAGATAAGGCCTGAATATAGGTATTCTCTTTCCTAATACTTTAAAATACTGGCTGATATACAGATGACTGCAGTAGTATTTGGCAGTTGTTTGGTAGTACTTACCTTGCATAAAGAAAGTGCTAGCAAACATACTGGTTGGTGGCTTAGGAGATGGATAACTAGGAGATTCACGGTTGAAATCATCTGAATTTGGGGATGGTGCATATACCTTAAAATTAAATGGTACATTTAATTAAAATGTAAATGACTATCATATTACTTACGTAAAATGAGTTCTATATTCTCTAAGGGGCTTAAAAAGGCCTATCTAATTTTTACAAAAGGCTACCACAAATGAAAAGAATACTGCCTTAAATCCACATAAATAATGTCAAACTTAATTACCATCCATGTTTTTTTTTTTTAAAACTGTTTATTAGAGAAAAATACAACTCTAAATATCTCTGTAATGCATCTTAGTATGACAGTTACACCAAGTGACTGAATAAGCACTGAACTGGCTTACCAAACACAAACCTCACGTAGGCTCATGATTCAAAATCTGATGGAGCAAACAAATGTCCTTTGAATACAGCATAACATAAAACCTGGGTTCATAAAATTCATTCTTTTCAGTGTTACAAGATTCACCAAATAAAATCAAAATAAGTTTGATTAAACATTGCTATCTTTGTTATAATTAGAAGGTAACTATCAAAGGCACAACACTTCTTAACTTGGTAGAGTTAGGAACTTCCTTAACTTGGTAGAGTTAGCAAATAAATTAAAAACACATTGCTAGTACAATTTCAAGTCTGGCAAAGCTTTAAGAAAAATCTCATTTAATTTATTAGAGCAGTATTAATTTCCTTTGATAAACCCTTGCTTTAGATAAGCAAACTGCAAACATTTTGAATTAGCAAATAGCCAACATTTGCACTCCTCTGGAAAACTAAATGGGCAGCCAAATAATCTTAATGATCAAAATGTGATCACACTATTCTCTTAACTACTGAAACAAAGGTGGAAAACAAATAATATCTAAAGTGATACACAGTCTACAAAAGTCAACCAGAAGTCAGGAGGAAGAGAAAGCTAAGCTATTGTGAGCAGTGAAAGAAATAAACTAATTTTGTTTTAGTTTGAAGTGATACATCCATTAAATTCAAAAAAATAAAAATTTTAAATGTTGATTGAAATAGAATAATATTAAAATCATGGAAGCATCTATTTTAAAAGTCATATATTAATTTGATTGCATAAGCATAGAAAATTTCTAGAATTACACACAAGAAACCTGACAGTGGTTAGTTACATCGTTAGACTGCGAATTGGGAAGGAGGACTTTTACTTTATGTTCTTCTACATAATTTGATATTTTACCCCAAGTTTAAGGAAGTGCACCAAGATTAAAATGGGATCCCAACTTTTTATTTACATAAACTGTCAATTACATTAATTTATTCTTTCTTGGAGGTATTAACTGTAAAGACCTCTTGCAAATTACCCTAATCTGCCCAAGACTCAATTCCCTCTTTTGTAAAATGGTGTTAACACTGCTTGCATGAGGAGATTGATGGGCAGATCAGATGAGATTATATATAAAATGTTTAGCACAGTGCTTTGTACAAAGTATGCAGGCAATAAGTATTAGCTAACAGTATCATCTTTCATTCTAATAGGAGCAGTTATGTTGCTAAATATTACCTGTTCAATACTCAAATGCTGTTCCTTACAGTTTTTGTCTAATATGAGCCTAGTTATATACACAGTTTATTCTAAATAAAAGGTAATTTTTACTCTGTGTGCTGGTCCTGATAATGCTAGCACAGGTGATTTTTTTTTTTAATGGACTGGCATTCAGGTTTGTTTCCTACCTTTCACATTCCAGAGATAAAAACATGCATCTGTGGTACCTGAGAAGTCTTGGAAAAGATACAGTACATTCCTAAGAATTATCTAGAAGGATCCCCTAGTTTGAGGAATATGGCAGATAAAATGGTTTGTTCATCACACATATTAAACATACTTTTCTGGTTTAAAGGTATTTCACAAATGATTGTGTTGAAATAAAATAACTGACTATATACAAATGTGTCTGCAACGTATTGTACAGCCTGATAGGCAGATAAGGTTTTCAGGAAAGGAACTTTGGACTATTTTCTTTTAATCAAGTTTCATCTTTTAAACTTAGCCCTAGCTAGAAATCCTCGTGTCCCCTTTCTATATAGATTTCCTCAAGCCAAGCTAAAACCACGAACAACAACAAAATAGAATAAATCCATAGAACTATCCAGAAAATACAATGAGAATCAAATTTAGAAGACAGCACCCGAACATATGCTTTCTATCACAAATGTGCACTTACTATACACACCATCCTTGATATGTATGGATGAAATATAAAATTCTCTAATTCTATCTAGGTTATAGACTGAAACAGTATGTAAGACTCTCATACTTGATATTTACGAAAACACTCCAATTTTGATGCGTCATTTTAAACAAAAATGGACATAATTTGTCAGTTTAAATTTTTACATAATTTGTCAATTTATATTTCTTTATCCTTATTCCCATTCAATTCACTGTATTCCACACATTAATATACTTACGTTTTTAAAATGTGAAGATGGTTATAATTACAAAAGGAAGTAAAAGGATAAACTTTACTGATTTACAAATCGCTGCTAAATAACAGAGAATATGCTGATCAGATAATGGTTTATTGACGGTTGTCATGGAAAGCAAGAAAACTAAGAAAAACCACACAAAGCACAGAGACTTGCCTTCCCTTACTCAAAAAGTTTGAAGTTGTATGGAGAAAACGGCACATTTTAGAGGTAAAGTTTGTTTTTAATGCTATATCTTTCAAACAGATTTTGAAAACAATGGACTTTTAAAGGACAGACCTTATAAATGAAAATGGCAAAAAAAAAAAAAAAAAACCCACAAAAACAAAAAACTCCTACTATATCATTTTTGTACTAACACGAGTTCAAAATTTTTATACTAAGAATGTTTTGAAATATATGGCTTTCAAAGAGGTACATTTACCAGCATTTCTAACACAGGCTAAATAAGCTAAATAACTTTACTTTTGGTATCTTAACTATAGCTTGCAAAAACATAGATGCAATGTTATGAAGCAGCAGTCGTGCCAGTCTTGATTTTTCAGATCAAAGACTTCTTGCGGCAAAGCACAACTGATGTGGTCTCAAAGGCTTTATTAACTCCAGATGTAGGGAAATAGTCAGCCAATTCCACAAAAAGAGCAAGTCTCTCTTAGTTACAATCAGTACTGGCCACAAATTAAAACCAGACTGCTTATGTCATCTGATCACCTGAACACAGATGCCAGTTTTTTTTCCCCTAGTTAATGATCTAATCATTGGTTGAAATCTGAAGGATGATTTTGTATCATGACAATCAATCTTAAAATTAAGAGAAAGGAATATATATGCTTTAAGATGATTAAAATCTACCAGGAGTCTAGGAGTCAAACTATTTTAAAGAGAACAGAAAAAGGGTAAAATTAAGTAATTTAAGATGTTCTATTAAAATGTGGTAGACATTTTCTTTAGAATTCTATTCTCCTTTTCAGAATGCCAAGCTCACAGTAGCTACCATGGGACCAACTCTTTTCCCAAGCACTTATACTCTCCCCTGTAAGAATGGTGTTAAGAGAAATTTTGGATGTGTAGTGAACAGACAGTTCTAACTTGAAAGAAGAAAATAGAAAATCTAATGGATGCCTCCCCTTCATTATTAAGTCTGTTGAAAAGAACACATTCACATTAATAATATCTTGCATGTCCTCATCAGACTCACCATAAAGCAACTTTTAAAAAGGGATAGCATACTTTGGGGATGAATATTTACGGTTACTCTTTACAGTGATAACCCAATTATCCTGGAAATGTTTTAGTTCATACAACAAATCTGAGTAAAACTGGTAAAGACAGATCTCTTTTTTCCTGCTCAGATGATTCAGTTTAGTCATATGGATAACCCCAAATTCAGGGCATATACTCTGTTCAACTCTAGAGGCTGGAACTGTGTACCGTGCTCCCGATTTCTATACATCTTTCCTATAATTAATACTGGAAACATTCCTGTGAGGCAGGGATAATGACTTTCTGTTACTGAGAAAAAATGCAAAGACGCAGAGGTTTTGCTAAAGAAGATAATTCTTTTTATCTAGTCACATTCAGTGATAAGACAGAGTTAAAGCAAGATGTGATTATCCATACTTCAAAAAATAGATCCACAGCCTATGTGGTGGCATTTTCCAAGTGATGAAGAGACAGGAATTTTCTTTAGTATGTGAGAATAGTTATATATCCTAATTGAGATACCCTTCCAGAGAAAATGAGAAGAATGCTTTACATGAGTATTGTCTAACAGATTTCTGTGATGATGGAAATGTTCTGTATCTATCCTGTACAATACAGTAGCCATTAGTCACGTGACTATTGAACACTTCAAATGTGGACAGTACAGTTGAGAAACTTAATTTTAAATTTTATTTTATTTAATTTAAATGCCATTTGTGGCTACTGGTTACTATACTGAGCAAGACAGATTTAGATCCTTCTTATCCAGCAGTTTAAGATTGTATAAATTACTTTGAAATATATTCTAGAATTCTTAAAAACTCCAAGGCCTATGAAAACCAAAGTCAGCCTACATTCTGAAACATTTTGAGAACACCTTCACCTAATTTGGAATAAAGTAGTATGGAGAAGGCTATCTACTTTTCTGAACACGGTCTGACACAGAACTAATTACCAAGATTCCATTATGTTTGAGCCTCTATTAGATCTTTTGTCAAGATGGTTTGAATAGCTGTTCTCTTTAAGTTCCAATATGTTCAGTATCATTAAACACTTTAACACATGCTAATGTGGGCCTCAAATATGTGAAAGGTCTGTGCTAATAACAGAAATTATATTCAGCATAATTTACATCAATTTACCAAAATAACAAAACATAACAAAACTATTTGGCTAACTTGCCCTGCCATAATAATTTTAAAATGAAAATATGATATTATATTCAGGAACATCCACTTTATCTGGTATCTTATATAATTACATTTAGTATTAAACAATAAAAACTTTACTAGATCTAGCGAAGTATCTAAAACCTGAAAAAAAAAAAAAAAGGTCTAGGTCAATGAAATATTAATAAAAGAATATCCCAACCCAGGTCAAACCCTATATTAAA